ACCCCCACACATTAGCCCGCTGCTTTTAATTACACTAACACCATCCACCCGACCATGCAGAGAGGGAGGGAGTGATAAAACGGGGAGGAAAAGAGAGAGGCTGAGACAAAGAAAGAAAAGCAGCCTGAGAGATGATGAAGGTAGAAGTAGTGACAGAGATGTGTAAAAAACCACTGGGACGAAACAAGAACACATCATTCTACACGGGGAGCCAAAGAGACAAATAGAAATGGGCAAACAATAAGGACTCCTCACGCTACAAGCTTCACGCTGCATCATATCAACTGATCGACTCAGTGAGAACCATGGGAGACATCACCCTCTGTCACTTCTCCTGCTCTTATCCGACCAATAACAACATCATCCTGTTTAGCAGCAACAGCAACACACTGAGTCATTGTGCACAAGGGCTTGTGATGTTCAGAGCGGCGCTCAGAGAGGATCTGATAGCTGAAAACTCTCCAGTGAATCACATCATGATAAGAAAAACATGCCTTCTCTGCTCCGTTCTGCTTATTTTTATTTATTTTTTCCAGAAACTCTCTTCCAGGAGCCCTGTCAAAGAAATGATAGTCAGAGCAGAGTCTTAACATGTACTTTAGTTTTTGTTTCGTTTGTTTCAGTGGATCAAGATTATGATCAATGAAATTATCATAGTAGTAAATACACAAATATTGCTTAAAGGGGCTGTGTTTATGTTAACACATAATCCATATTAATCTTATCTTGCAGTATTTACAAATAGCCCCTAAAACGGATTTGCGACAGCCTTCAAATTCTGTTTGTTCTCCTGCACATGCAAAACAATTTACTGGAGCTTAGAGCTGCAGATTATTGTTTATTTGCTCTGTCTAATAAAGCTGGGCATGAATCCTACATCACACATTACTAGAAAATATTAAACACAGTAACTCTCCAGCCATTTTAAACAATGAGAGATGTAAAAACAATGCCATTTTTCTAGAACAGTTAACATTTTAAAACAGTATTCGTTTTTTTGTTGTTAGTTTCCATTGGGGGTCTTGGCCCCTTGGTGGCAGCACAACAAGATATAAACACAGCACTGACATACCACCTTATAAAGCTGCTGTGGATAACATCTTGGCAAACAGGTGTCTGGTCACATCCAGCAGACACAGAGGAATATTAACTGAGTTACAGAGCACCTGACCGATGTAAGTCAAATATTCACTATCCTTTGAACTTGGTTTTGGTCTCCACCAACTCCTGAGGGAAATATCAAATTCTTTAGCTGCTAAATGCCCCACAGTCTCCAACAGCTAATTGCTAACTTTGTCTCCGCCGGTCAATCCCAGTCAATTTCAGTGTGGTACAACTAGAACTTGGTAGAAGTTACTGTAAGTTGGGAGAAAATATTCTTTTTTACAGTACCAGTCAAAAGTCTGGACACACTTTCCCACTGGAAAGTGTGTCCAGAATTTGTATGTCTTGGAAACAGAAGCACAACTATTTCAGGCCATGTGTTACATCAGTGTTTTTGTTCAGTAATTAGTCTGTGTGAAGTATTGTGTAGCCGTGACATGAATATGAAGACGATAGGAGCATTGTTCGTATAATAAATTTGCTATATTCATGTTTATCTTTTATCTTCATTTTCAACATGACCTGTTATTTTATCAAATTATGCGGTGGAAATAGATTTTTAACCTCTTTCTAAAAAAAAAGTTTGAACCACTCTGCAAAGCCACTGTTCAGAGCTTTTATGGTATTCCAGCCAAACTTCAATATCAGTCAGTCTACATCTATGATTCAAAGGCACATTTTACACAATCCCACTGATCCTCCATAATGAAATCTCTCCTTACAGCAGCTGAGGATAAATACAAACCAAATACCCTCATGAGGACGTTCAGATGATTGCCAAGCCTTTTTCCAAGACTGACAGAAAAATAATTACAACGTTCCATGAATTTTTTTTTTTTTTCGATTTCAGAAAATTATTTATTTTCCCACGCTGCTGTTCGTGGTTCATATTTATATGGAAATGCCACTTCCTTTTCATTGTCATATCTAAAGCTCAGAAACATGGGAGAGCTGAGGTATGAGAGACCACAACCTACTTACTAACAGGTCTGGTTAGAGGACTGTGTCTGAGCACAAATACCAGGTTTTATTTTCAAGAAATTTGGTAATTGTAAAAGTGGCGAGCACGGAGAAACGCCCTGGCAATAATCATTAAAACAGATAGACAGCTAGATTATTATCGTGCTTCCTCACTCTGCAGGCTATATTATCTGTCATAAGTGGTACACACTCTGTCATGGTAATTACTATGACAGACAGGCTGGCCTCTCATAGTTGTCCGGCCAACACACAGTACAATTAATCAATCAAAGCTCCCGACTCGGGGGGTTCATCCTTTAAGACAGGCATAATAATCCATCACTGCTCCTCACATCCACATGCTGATCCATCAAGTCAACATTGCTTTGCTGAGAAAGACAGTGAGGAAAAAAAAAAAAGGTATATGAAATGGAGTAATGGAGTAATCTGGAAGCTGATTCCCACAGTAATTATAACTGTCATTGTAATGTAATGGAAAATGAAGCTGATGAGTTCTACAAAGTGCTTCAATCAGAGCAGGCGTGTATAGAAAGCTTACTAAAAAACAAATAGAAGACTATATTACAGGACTTCAAAGGCTGTTAACAGATTGGTTTCCAGTTCGGGCATAGTTTAAAGGCTAAAATAAATACAAATCTATTTTAAAGACTTTGAAAAAATGCACAGAAATGGAAGCAAATTGCAAAGAAACATTAAAAGGTATTTATAATTTTACGCCAGAACCAACAATCGATTCCTATCTATTTACTGTGGACATATCTACATTGCTGAAAACTTCATAGTGAGAAGTGGTAGAGAACAGCACATCAACATTGTTGGGAGGTAGCGCTGGGTTTGCTAAAATTTGTACTGACAAAGTTTTATTTTTTAATCAAATTTATTTATCAAATTTGATTGTCTATTGACAGTCCATACAGTTCGCTGTCTATCTTCATGTTTACAATCTGCTAGGAAGCGATTGAAGAAATAATTTTACATTTTGGGAAATATGCTTTCTTGCTAGCTGTGAAGATCGATACCACTCATGTCTGTACATTAACTAGGAAGTTCAAGCTTTTTTTTTTTTTTTTTTTTTTAAATTAGCTTAGCTTAGCATATAAAAAGGAAGACACTGCATCCAGCCAAGAAATGGTTACAGCATGTAATTCCCCTTAAAACCACTAATTGATGTTTTTACATTTCTATTCGTGTATGGATTAAACATATCAGGCACAACATGTTAATTAGGTGTATTCAGACATGGAGGCCAGGCAAGAAAACAAATAAATGTATTTCTAAAAATTTAGAACTTTTCCTTTAAGCCTCAGGGAATCATTGATCTCAGCAGAAACATTGACTTCAATATTGCTATATAATTTATATACATATTGATTTTTTTTGCCATATCACAAAGCCCAGATGATCTAAAATCTGGAATACAGCCAAAAGTGGCCCCTATTATCTACATCCTCATAACTGGCTTGTTTGCTTCACATTGATTCCTGTACAACCGTACCCTCTTCTCTATTAGTAAAGCAGTGAATTCAAACCTCAAGTCTATATTCTCACGTATGATGTCTTGTTACTGTGTCTGGTCTTCTTTCAAGCACCTCGTCTTTCTAATTAACACATTTCTGAGTGCTTTAACTCTGCCCTTTACACTGCATGTTCTATGGAAAAAAAACATGTATTGGTCTGGCAGCAGTTTTCTGAACATCTTCAGAACATCACCTTCTTCTATTGTAAAGAAGAAATGGTATTGAGTAAAAGAAGCACATTGGGGGTCTCATTCCCTTTGAGCTCATTTACAGGCTTTATGATCTTGTCAATAGAAATCTGCTGTAGATGAGAATATGATGCGTTTTTGTCCATCTCTCTATAAAAAGCCTCAACAATAGGATCCACTGCCTTCTACAGTAACATCTCTGCCGACCCACACAGGCAGGTATAAACAAAAGCGCACATGCGCATATTCACACACACAGCACAACCCCACACACAGTATCAGGAGTAATCTGAGATATAAAGCCTCATCGATCAGAACTGCTCTCTCTTGAGGATTACATCATTGCCCAGCAAATAGCCAATCATAGCCAAGCTGAGACTGCCCGCTCTGTGACCCCATCTCCTGTAAAACTAAAGGCAATAAGAGTTGCATACACACACACACACACACACACATACCCACACACACACACACACACTATTCCAGTCACGTCACAAGGAGGCATTGATATCTTTCTCCAGGGTATTGAGCATTTTTATGTAAACCTGAACCACTGCGACAGTAACACTGGTGCATGTTGGGGGATTTTTTTGTATTGTTTCAACTGTGACACAAACATCACTCAATCAATAACTCTCCCTCCCACATACACACATATACATTGTTTAAAACAGCAAAAAGTATGGAAGGAATTATGCTAAAGCGCACTCGAGTTGATGAATGGGCAGGGAGTGGTACATACTGCATTTTGGTACTAATTCATAGTAATGCACTAAGCAATGCATTATAAAAGAGTTATATATTAATAAGTAATTTTTAAACTCTACTGCCCCTTACGGAGTAAATAAATCACGACTTGAACTTCATTACTTAATGTATGTTCTGCCATTTATTATAAGAACCTGGTAAATAGAAAACAATGTTATTCTGTTTCCTTTGAAAAAAATACTATAGTGCATCCTTATGGCCAAGAAGGTCTAAATGAATACCATAAAAACCAAAACATCCCATGTTTTCCATCAGTACTCCTATGTCTCCTATAAAATAAAGGCAACATTTTCCGTGTAAAATCTTTATAAAAAAGGTTGAGTTTAAGGACATAACATCTTAATTTCTACTTATCAAACTGTGTCGTCTACTTCGCTGTAATCCCTCGTAACCAATACATTGTGGCGTTGAGTAATCATATGATTCATATATGTTCTCATACCTTGATATAGCCGCCAGTAGAAACCAGAAGAGAGTTGTCTGGGGAGAAGTGCATGTCAGTCACCCAGCCTCCGTGGAGTGAGTCCATACCGTCTTTACCGTCTCGCGAACAAATCTTCAGCAAAGAGCCTTCACTGACACTCCAGAGCTGTGATAGACAGCCAAACATTAAAAACCAACCATAAAGTAAATGCCACTGATAAACAATAAAGATGCCAGCTGTGTTGGCATTTACAGATTTGGCTGCTGGTGCCGTCAACAGACAAATATAAGTTTTGGTACAATAAATTCCTGTCACCAGGTCGACTACTTTGGTTGATTTTTCAGCTACATCTTGTTGCCTACATCAGCAGATGGAGTTTGCTCGGTTGCCATGGAGATAGTGTGATTTTTATCACATGACCCAAGTATGAAATTTTAAGGGGACATTGTGACCTCTTGTCTCTGTTCAAGCATGGTCTCTTGTATCAGATGTGACTAGAATGCCACACTTAGGTCACGTGACAACAACCAAACCGTGTCCATGGCAACTAAACAAATGCCATTGGTTTATGAAATTCATGAGATGTGCTCCAGAAAGACAGAAGGAGCTTGTGATAATATTTTGTCATGAAACTTATATTTCTTAAGTCAAGAAGGAAACTTCAAACTCAATACAACTGAGATTGAGAAATTAATCCACACAAGAAATTACCCATAATGCACCACATATATAATGAAACGATGGTTTGTGACTCTGCCAACACTGGTGCAGCACATCATGTCTATTGCAGCTGTTATGCAACTGTTCACATGCCATGCTGCCTTGACAATGACACATCACACACATACAGCTATATTTAACACTTGGCATGCTTTTGTGCTGAATGACTCAGATTTGTTTCCATAGAAACGGGTGAGATTTCAGTGTGGTTTATGTAATTGGATGTGATGGATTGGGCCATTCCTGGATAATGGAGCAGGTTCAGCTCAGAGGCCACCAGAGGGCATTAACCCTTTGTTGACTGATGCTGCGCCACCGTGTGACGCTTCAGGCTGAACGGCGCTGAATGACTTTTCCTCATCCCCCTCTCTACCTCTCACACAGTCTAACTTTTCATTTACTTTGTGTGTGTGTGTGTGTGTGTGTGTGTGTGTGTGTGTGTGTGTGTGTGTGTGTGTCTGTCTGTCTGTTTGTAGATGAACAGTGCCGATTCCAAAGCCTTGGGGATCCAATTTGGCAGCCTGAGTCCTCTCCTTCACCTCCCACTGTCAGAAATCTCCTCCTCTTCCTGCTCCCTTCATCCCAACTTGTCACATAACCTGCACCTCCTCCAGCTCCCGCACCCCCTCCTGAGAAGGAGCCCTACCACCTTCCTTTCATCTCCACCCCTCCTCTGTACACTGCAGCAATCATGATCTATTAGTAAGCACTTTATCTAAATGAGCAATAAGATGTAATTATGAGGTGATCTCTCAGAATAAATGGTGACTGCTGTAATTGCATTTTTGTGTGTTGCACAACAAATTAGATGGTTTAAGGTACTGTCATACTTCTCATACTAGTAGCATAATATCATTTGGAGTAGTTGATGTGAGTATCTTGAGGCAGGAGGCTCAGTGAGAAGTCTTTCCTCACCTCTCTTCTGTAGCCTCTATTCTTTATTTCAAATTACCTCTATCAGTCCCTCCATTCTTCTCTTTGCTGCCTCATTTTCCTCATAATTCCCTAAAAACCCTCTCCATTCCACCTTTTTGCTTTTAGGCGGCACTTTGCTGAGGGTGCTTTCCAACAGTAAAACAAGCCTAATGAGCTTAAATTCCTAGATCAGCAACCAATAGTAAGAAATAAAAAGGTAAAGTTAAATGGCTGAATTGCTTTGAACACACACCCTGATCTCTCCGTTGTCATCTCCGGTTGCGAGGCGTCGGCTGTCCCAGGAGAATCGGCAGCTTCGGACACAATCTTGATGGCCGCTCAGTGTGTGGACGCACTGCCAGGACTCACAGTGCCACAACTAAGAGCACAAAGTCAAGCATAAAGAAGACAGGAAAGCAGAAATCAGTATATACAATAATAAAATATAAAATAAATAATGTACAATAATTATGTATGATGTACGAATTCTGACACGGTTATTGCAGAAAATCTGCATGTACTGGATATGTAATTCATTTTTACACTACATTAGAACTGAAATGAGTGACTGACCCCAAGAGTAACCTATTCAGAAGAACACTAAGCTACCCGTTTCTGTAACACAGGGCAGCTAGATGGGATGAACTCTCCTTGGACAGACTGTGACGTACTGTGGATGAAATATAATTATAAAAACATAGCTATGTTTACCTGGGAATAACAGGTAATAATAATAACAATAATAAAGATGTTACATCCTATGAGGACAAATACAGAGCTAATGTTGTTACAGCACAACATAAAAATGATGAAACTGTTAATGAGTGCCCTCTCACTCTGCTGTTTTCTTCCTCTAACTTTTTTCCCTTTTTCCCTGTCCTCCCATCTCTAGCTCTCGTTCGTTGTTCTCTTCCTTCCTTTCCTTTCCCATCCTAGTCTTTCCCTCTGTGTTTCTTCCTTACCCCGGTTGCATCCTGTGCCGCACAGAAAATAACACAGCTCATAATTAGACACTTCATTTGGCAGCCGGCTAAGTATGTCTGCACACAAAGTCCCATTCATCTGAAGGTCAGCAGAAAAAGAAAGAAAAAGAGAGAAAAAAAGAGGACAGAGAGAGATAGAGGAAAAGGAATGAGCAGAATAGAATACCCTCCCTGTTTCTGTGGTGCTCAACAAAGACACTCACGACTGAGCCTTTCATTTGACCTCTATATAAATGGAGACCGGAGACTTTGGTGTTTGTGTGTGTTTTGAGCTACCAAAGCCCCTACTCGGTCTGGAGAGCAAGGACTATGTGACTGGCTGCTAACCAGCCTCACAACACTCACACACACCTCAATTATCATCTTTGCCAAATCCATAAAACACACATTCTCTCTCACTACCATCCACTGACAGAAGCCATGTTGGCTGGCGACCCAGTGGCTGTTCTCTACAGTAAGTGTCGACCAAATCCAGATTCCCGTGTGAAACTTGGTGGCAGTGGCTCTAGATCAACTGCTTTAACAACTGCTGAGAGAGCGACTTTGCATCGTTTCTTATGCTGGACACTCAGAAACACCAGTTGTCATCAGTGGTTGAATACTGGATGGGGAAGATTAAATTCAACACTGAACCCACAATCACTTATGATCCAAGAAAATGAATGACAGTGAAAAGAAGCCAGTGTCAAAGAGCATACAGTCTCAGTACAGTTCAGCTTGTACCATGCGGCGTGGTTCACTTTTCTGTGGATGATGAGTAGGAAAAGCAATGATTTAAGAGCTGCTTGCGGAAAACCGCATCCCGGGACTCCTGAGTCAGTGAAAGTCAGGCCAAAGTCAGGCCAAAGTCAAGCGCAGTGGTGTTGGTAAACGGCAGCCTGGCAAAGACTACATCCAGACAGGGAGGTGGGGCGGCTGCGAGTCAGCCTGCCTGTCAGACTGTTGGTTCAGCAGGTCCATGGGCTGCCATTTAATCAGACTAAATGTGGGCGTAGGACAGGCTGACCTGCGGCTAACTCACCAGGCCTGAGGCCAGCTGCTGCACGCTAATCTCTAAGGTACTGCGCCTCCCTTGTGGGTAAACTTTTAGCCTCAGATATCACTCGCAGCAATGCATCCATGTGTATGTGCTGTAAGTAATAAGTTTGGAGGGAGGTTAGAGGGAAGATGCCAATGTGTAATAGGTCAAGTTGTTACTGGCAGCTCAAACAGATATGTCTCATCCCATGAGTATGACTTTGAGTGTGAGTGTGAGTGTGAGTGTGTGTGTGTCTGTGTGTGTGCGCGTGTGTGTGTGTTGAACCTTAGCAGTCTTGTCAGCAGAGGTAGTCGCGAAGAAGCATCCGTCTGGTGAGACATGACAGGACAGAATGGCTCCCTGATGAGCCTCGATGTCCCGTAGCTTCTCTCCACTTTCTACATCCCACACCTTATAGTGAGCAGGGAAATGAAGAGAGATATTATTCAATATTTAATTTCACACCGCTGTCAACTGTGTTTTCAGTGGATATGTGTCTGAGCTTCACCTTGACAGTCCCGTCGAAAGACCAGGACAGGAGTCTTGTGTCGGCTGGTGAGCTGGAGAGCAGAGAGAAGCATCTGACCTGCTCTTTGTGACCTTGAAGCGCTCTAACCTCCCCAGACTGCCACCTCCACACCTACAGGGAGCAGGAGAGAGACACAGAGGAACAAGGAATCTTTTAGCCACTGACGCTTTTCACAACATCCACATTTATGGAATTATAAACTTTGACATGAGTTCCTGATAAGTCCAGATAAGTGTGTTGCATTATTTCCATAAACATGCAGTAAGCATGACTGTCTTGGGGAAATAACCCACAATTTGTAGCATCCTAATGGGAGCCTCACACTGGCTTAACAGAAATCCATCTGTTTAGATGACATGTAATTTCTGTGCTGTCTGTTCCTTATACAGCATTTTGAGCCTGTGCCTCCATCCTCTTTTATTCACTTGCATATAACGTGTGTGACATTAGCTAAAGTCTGCGAGGGTTCAGCGCTTAGAATTTAGTGTGGACTTCTCTGTTCATTCAGTAAAAGAGGATCACAAATTTCTTTCATGTATCAAGTTTGAGAAGCTGAAAAATCTCTCATTTTAGGATCAAAGGCTTTTTAAAATCAACTTTGTAGGGGGAGATATATGATTAGGTTTGGTTTGTCAGCAGGGGTGTTGAACGAAAATAATAATGTTCACTTTGACTGTGTGTGATGATACCTTTGCATTTGCTAGAGATTTGTCTAACACAAATTTCAACCTGGGTTTTGTTCGTGTTTCTCAAATCTCTAAGACGTGAGGTGGTGAGTTAGAATGAACATAATTCTGCTTTAAGTGCCAAATATAACTCATGTGGATACAACAAGCAAAGGTTTTCATTGAAACAAAACATCAAAAAAATAAAAGTAAAGAAAAAACAGTTTTCCAACAGGCCTTTTCTTGTGCACAAGAATGTAGTAGCCACGTAGCATCAACTAATCACGTGACAGAGAGAAATGGATGCTGCAGTGCAGTCTCACATATCCAGTATGTAATACTTATGTGAGCTTCTGAGTGAGTGAGTGACACTGCTAATGCTACAGGAGAACACAGTATTACATGTTGCTCTTTTCAGTTTTTTGCTTCTCCATCTTTTTGGTGTCTTAGATGTACTGAGTTTATGCTAATATTCATCTGTGAAATTAAACTCTGGACCTGCGCATCTGTCTGTTTTATGCCAGTGTGCAGGCAGGGAAATGAGTAGAGTGAGGAGTTCAATTGAGCTCAAACACTGCAGGACAGAGAGAATCACCCACACCATCTTATCATGCCCTTGCGCACAACATTGCACCTTTTCTTCTTCTGAATAGAATCTGTCATGGGTGCAAAGGTTAGAATCCATCACCAGCGAACATCAATGCCATTAGATTTCCTTACATTCACTCTGCACCTGCATTAACATCTAAATACACACTTCCATCTCCTAGCGAGCACATGTCAAACAGCATGCATTTCAAAAGCTTCTGAATAAGCAGCGGACGGTCCGAGAAAAGTGATGTTGTAGGCAGCTGCAGCATGAATACGGAACGAGGTGCTGCGCTGTCGGAGAGTGGAGGAAGTGCTGCAGTGGACAGGGCTGTCGGCAAAAGAAAAAGATCAAGAAGGAGGAGGAGGAGGAGATGAGAGGGGAGGAGAGGAAAGGGGAAATGAGCAACAGAGCATGAACGGTGGGGTTGACAGAGCGTAACGGCCTGAAATACACACACATACTCGCACACAAACAGAGAGAGTTGCACACGCTCAACACAAGAGCAGGAGGGAGATAAAGAGCTATCGAGAGCGGCACAGCTGAAAGGGAAGGGAAGGCAAAAGGAAGGAGAGGAGAAGAAAGAGGGGGATGAAGAATGGAAAGGTGAAGAGGCAGAAAAAGAAGCTGGTAGAGTGTAACAGGTAGAGGAAGGTGAAAACACCGCCGAGACCTGAAATACTGTAAGGATGAGCGATTTAGCAGAGCAGGCAGTTTTACTCAAGGTGAGGGATGGGGATGGGGGAGAAGAATAATTGATAGCAGAGAAGAAAAATGGGAAGCAGGTTGGAGGAGGAGGAGGTGGAAGAACGCGCCATGAATTAGTCAAGAAAAGATGGTGAGGATGAGGTGGAAAGTGATGAATGGGTGAAGCACAAACAGGAAAACCAAGCAGAAAGACACAGAAAGGATGAACAGAAGAAGGGCGGAGCTGCACACCCTGATGGTGGTGTCTTCAGAGGATGTGATGAGTGTTTGGCCGTTCCGGCTGAACTGGCAGTGCAGCACCGTCTTGGTGTGTCCCAGCAGAGTGGCCAGAAGCTTCCCAGAGGGCACCTCCAACACCTGGACAGAAGAAACAAAGAAAATTAGCACCACAAATGAACAGCGAGGGCTATGTCTCGGGTGCATTTATAAGAAAAGTAAAGCCAGTGGTTGGTCAAAAAAAGACCTCCACTGTGAGTCACATAAGGTTCACCCCCGGTGTCTAGAACATCTATACAAACCTCAAATGATAGCTGAGTTTGCCAAGATATAATCAGGGAGAAAAACTGTCTCAGACAGTCTCCTAAAAAATCCTGACAAAAAGTCACATTTCGAGGGAGTGCTAGAGGAGGAGAGAGGTGAAGTGCCGCTGCTGGCTTGATAGTGATAAGCACATCAAAAAAAGAAAGTGGAGTTGGGGGTAAAGTCTGAGCTTTGAGCATGACCGTTCAGTCCGGTCAAGACGGCAGAGGGCTGCCGGGGGTCTGACAGCCCTGCAGACATTACTGGGGGAGTTAGAGAACAAAACAGCTTTGATGCTCAAAAGATCCAGCTCAAAGAAGAAAGAAAAATGTCATCATATGTTCTCACTTGGGATTGCTGCTTCTGCATAAAACCCTGTTATAATAAGCCCTTGAGATGAAACTTTCACAGACTATGTAATGCTGGTTTCGAAAGAAATGGAAGTTTTTGTGACACCCTCAAAAAGGATAACGCTACGGCCCAGGGACCTCCAGTCCTGGAAGTCCTAGATGGGGTTCCAGGGAGGACTCCAGGGAGCTTCTAGCCAGTGGCAGCAAAGAAGACAATGACAGTCTGTGTGTCGGTCCAATACTTTGCTCCAGACTGAAAATCTTGACAACTATTCAATGCAAATTTTGAACAGTCATTCATGGTCTCCAGAGGATGACTCCTAATGACTTGAAGACTTCCTCTAGAGCCACTCTCTAGTGAAATGTCTTTATAACTGTTGGATGAATTTCCATTAACTTTGGTTCCGGACATTCATATCTAATTGGTTATTCTTCAACTTTTAATCTAGTGCCAAAATGTTATTTTGTCTAATGCTTCAGTTTATGACCAAATACCTGCTAAAGTAATGATACTCCCATCAGTGTACTGCGTGGTTAGTTCTAATTAGCAAATGTTTGCATGCTAACACACTGAACTCAGATGGGAAATTTAGTAACATTACATTTGCTATTCATCAGCATGTTCCTATTTTCATTCTCAGTGCCATTGTTCTGATGCTGATGTTAGTATGAGCTCAAAGCATCACTGTCCCTAAGCGGAGCCTCACAGAGTTGTTACCATGGCTGTAGACTGTTAGTCTTGTTAATATGTTTACTAATCACCAACATCAATAAAATACTACATTGGGACAAACACCTTTACTGATGATATATGTTATGATAGCACTGATTACAGTCTAATATAATCTATATTTGTTTGTGGCTTTCTTGTAGCCACTGGGCTTTTTTATACAGAGTTGAATAACAGAAGTTTGTTTTATCACCAAAAAGAACTCATTCTACTTATCAAAGACAAAGACAAATAAGGCTAATTAAAGTATTATGAGGTGAAAAATGTAGATTACAGCTGCAATTATAAAATCTACTGTGGCCTCTGTTCTTCATTAACTGTCTAGACCTTCTGACAGATTTATCCAGTGATTTGAAAAAAAAAAAAAAAAAAAAAGCTTTACTTCTGTTGGGTCTGCAACTTTACAAACTTCATAAACAATAAATTACTGAAAAATATACAAAAACCATAATTGCAGAGGAACAAATAAAACTAAATGTAGTATGTAACATTATCTTCCAGCCAGCAAAAGCACCTGTAGTTTAGAAAATGTAAAAGACATGCCTGTGACGCTTGGGATTTTACCAGGCGCTAAAATATTTACATCTCAGAGGACAGGGTTGAAATGTCTGAGCAGAACAAGCCGTGGGGCACGCCAACCATGTTTGCCAAGCTCTAAGCACTGAGCCGCAAGTTTTAAAGCCAGCGAGAGAACGCTTTGGCAAGCTTTACACACGCAGCTCAAGGATTTCTGGGATGGTGCAGTGAGGAAAATGCCTGAGGGTATTAGGAAAAAAAAAATAAACAAATCTAAAAGCAGGCTAATGTAAAGAAAAATACATGGATAAAAGTGGTGTAGGAATGAGATGGCCAGTGTTGAGGCCGGTCCCGCATGATGAGACGACACATACAGCAATGACAATAATCTGCCTATTCTTTTATTAGTTTTAAAACGCCCAAGTAATTACACAGCCAAAATAACACACACACACACAAACAGCACTTAGTGATTATTCTTGAACACTCTGAAGCACAAACACATGCACCCACATATTACACTTTCCCTGCCATACCTGAACGCAGCCTGTGCGTAACCCTACAGCCAGAACCAACCCCCTGTAGGAGGTCAACAGTCGTCGGATCCTGCAGCCAACCGTCCTCAGTATCTGACTAGCTGTCAGCCCTGCTGCCTGACTCAGGACACACACATGCACACACTCACAAGTGCATACTTTCACAATCATAAAGAAACACACGGTGACTTTCTGTTTTCTCCTGCACATCTGTCATAAAGACATTAATGTTCACATCAGCAGAACAATGCTGGTATTTCAGACTGACTGGCACTAGGAGCTGTGAGTGAGTCCTGGACTGATGCTGGCGAGTTATTGCTAATTTTTCCTCCAGTAAACTGGTTGTAAATAAGACCAGATGAGGGAAGAGTAAATGAATGCCTTGCACTGCAGCATCAGCAGCACCAGGAACCCCTCCAGCTGGCACCACGGCTCCCTCTGGTGTCAGCTCAGGGGACTAAAACCACTTAAAGTGTGTCTAAATCTGTTGTTGGAGGTAACCGATAAAGTAAAACGCACCAAATTTAATGTTCAGTGTGCAGTCTGACTGAAAGGAATTCTCGGCTGATCAACATATATATACTACAAGGATTACAAATTTAGATGTCTCAAAAAGGATGTCAATAAATGCACAGCTATTTCTACAATCTTGGTATCACAATGACAAAATGCAACAAAACAAAAATGGCAGTGGTTGGAGAAACCATTACCATCAAGTCATTAATTCGACCATGTATGAACTGCAGTGCTGTTCCCAGTCGTTGTGACACAGGTGATTCTTTTACAAATCTACTATGTTCTCACAAATAAACTGAGACACTGCATATTGTCAGCAGTAATCTTATGTGATTGTCAGAAGGTAATCCTAACACATCACTGGATATCATGTGACTGATACCAGTGATAATATAATACCTGAGTTCAGGATAATTTTTGATACCTTACTTTAAGAAATATAAACATGTTTTTCTACAAATCCCCCTTTTTCATTCGACAAAAAGAAGCCTAAGCTGTCAAATGTTGTCTCAACACAGATTTCTGTAATTGATCATCAATAGGAAAAGACACATTTCTGTTGCACTGGTCACCTCATTAGTCTGAACAGAAAACATGGCTGCAGCACTTTGGTACAAAAGAGTGTAACTCAACTGCAAATATGAAAGGTTGCTTTTCATTTTCTCCTAGGTTTAAAAACTGGGATCACTAACCATCTGTGCTCCTTTAAGTCCTTGTGTGCAATAACACTTCCCTCTCAAATGTATGGGTCCAGGAGACAAGAGGAGGGATAGATGATGTGCCAGAGATGAGTTGTAATTAAAATCATTAACCCTGTATTCATTAAGACTGCAGACCCTTTTAATTAATTAGAGTTGCTCTCTGTTGGCCTGGCCACAGCACAGATGTGTCAGGGGACTGCGAGTGGGTAAGTGTTTGTGTTTTAATTTAGGACGGGAACTTTCAGGGGTGTCCTCTACCATTGTGCATTACATGCAATAGACACATACATTCACAAATACACACCTGCCACAAAACAGATCAGGGCCATAGTCTCTGCCTGCAAACAACAATTTATCACCAAGACAAAGAGCAGTGGAGCACGGAGAGCAGGGGGACAGACGGAACAAAAGGAGGAAGAAAGACGAACAAAACAAAAGAGAGAATTAAAGAAAGAGAAGTGACAGAGACGTGAAATATAAAAAATAGAGAACAGGAGTGAATAGAGTTGAGAATACAAAAAGAGAAGTGTGTAGAGAGAGAGAGAGAGGGCGAGATGAAAGAGGTGTGTGGAGCTGACCTGATGTACAGCTGACAGGACAGATAAAACAGGGTGACAGTGCGAATGTCAGATCCCATGACTCGACATGCCCTACAGCAACGTGGACTGGAGATTTACACAGACGTAAACGCACACCTGCTGTCCATGCTACTCACACACATACAAACAAACGCACACAAACCCCCAAACTCTCACACACACACACCCACACATACACAACAAAGTGAGACTTTACAGCCTTGTTTAGATTTTAGAAATGTGGTTGTTTGATTATGAATTTCATTTTATAGTTGTGTCAGGGTGCACTGGTGGGAATGAGGATATATTGTAGTTTTTATTTTCTGAAGTTGAGGGAGCTGTTTGGAAATTTGCAGCAAAGATGTGAGAATTCATGGTCAGAATAAAACTGATTTCATTAAAAAGGAACACACAAGACCCCAGGAAGAAACCACAACTTGTCGGGTTCAGTTTTCTAGTTTTTCTCAGTTTTTGTTCAGATTAAGTAACAATATATAACATGTAATTAGTATCTTAAAAAGTGCTGGTAGGGAAATGTATACCAAGCAAATCGTCTCCTGGCAGATTCATATTTAATGGACAGATATGAAAGCGGTATCGCTCTTCTCATCTAACTCTCACAAGAAAGCAACCAGAATATTTCAGTGTCAAACTATTCCTTAACACAGATAAATCCCAGTGAAGACAGACTGACTTGTATAATTCTCCCACTTATTGAAAAAATGTGAGTATATTTGACAGTGGAATGAATTAGGGCTGCAACTAAAGATTAATTTCATTTTTCTGATTGTTTGTTTAGTCTGCCCTAATTGCCTGTCACAATTTATAATTTCCAAGAGAACAATGTGAAGTGTTTGTTTTCTTACACCAACAGTCCAAAACCAAAAGATATTACATTCTCAATTAGACAGAATTAAATTCTCATTTTTCAGAAGCTGGAGAAGCATTTTTCCTTTTCCAGTCATCAAAGTATTTTCTCTTCTATTGATTGATAAATATATTAAATGACTAATCCTGACGTGTTTAAATAATGTGTTTAAGGCACTGTCACAGACAGACTGACAAACGAGGAAACACATATAAATTGTACTTCAACGTGTGTTTTCTACCTGTACAGTGCCGTCTTCTTGGCCCAGAGCCGCTGCAGGAGGCTGCCTGCACATACAGGTACACCGGATCCTGGAAGACTTCTCCTCTGACTGGAACAACACGGATCCCGTCTTGCCATCACGCACCTGACACACACACACATGCGCACACGCTCTGTTTATATGACAACCTGATGCGGGCATAGTACAGTCATACTTGTCTGCACTTGATCTCACACTCAAAGAAACATCCCAGCTTCACATTCCTGCTTCAACTAGCCAACTGCCTTTTACTTATTCATTCAAACCCTCTCCTCTATTTTCCCAGCGGCTCACCTGCAGTCTATTGCAGTTGTCTGCAGCAGATACAATGATCTCTTCATCAGTGAAGAGAACGGCGGAGTCTCTCTTCAGGCAGACGGCTGAGGACGTGTGAACCTTCTTAGTTTCCCATAACTGCAAAACAAGAAACACAAAACATGTTAAGTTTGAGTCAAATTTATTTTGGACTTCCAGTGAAAGAGCAAAAAACAACATTGCGTTTCACTACTCTAGCTTTTCATTTACATTGTTAAGGCCAGTGTATTTACCACCCTGATATAAAAACAGTAACTGTAAAGGCCATAAAATAATCTTAACAGGCTAAACGGTTTCATTGTTTTTGCAATTGTAAATGACCTTGTTTTCAGGCTGTTTATGGTACATATTGCTTTGTTCAAGGGGGCAATGAGTCAGGACAAATCAGTTAACAATTCATGTTTATATAACCACAATTACAGCAAAAACAGCCTGAAGCAAGTCAATTCAAGTTTTTCAGTTTTCTTTCATAACACATCATACAGTAGCTGTTTGTTCTTTTATTACAGTATAGCCTCAGTGTTAGCAAGACTTTGATTTTACTGTCACAAGAGGTAATTAGAAGAATAATGACGGTACCTTTGCAAGTTCACATACTAATGTCGCTATATACGGCACACACACAGTCTTACCCTGACAGTCTGGTCGTCAGAGCAGGAGAGCAGCTGCGAGCCGTCAGGAGAGAACTGAACACGATGGACCCAACTCAGGTGCCCACTGCAATCAGCCATCTTTTTATTGGCCTCCAGGTCCCACAGCTAGAAGACACACACACAGACACACACACACACACACACACACTTAGTCTGATGTAGGACTTTAAAGGGTCAAAGCAACAGTTCCAGTCTGCACTGCATGTACTGTGTGTGATTGTGTGTGTGTGTAAGAGAATATGTTATACCTCCACAGCATAGTTAGAGAATGCAATGGCCAGCAGATTACTGGTAGGACAGGCGTGACAATATTGCACCGTGCTCAGACGATTCGTTCTGATCTCCAACAACATGTCCGACGTCTCCACGTCAAACACCTGAGAAACAGACAGACAACAAATCAGTGTCTACTCTGCCTTTGTACTAGGTCATAATGTATTTAGAAAGCTGCCAGAGCTGTACATGCAACACAATATCCTTTTAAATAAAAAACTTCTGTACAATCCCAACACTGCTAACAATAACTGAAGATCTGTTATTTCAGACAGTTAATTTGTATTCACCCACCTTTTAATACAATAAAAAAATATGCTATATATTATATTATATTAATTTTATTATTATTGACAACAAAATATTTGTTTGTTAACCAATATAACACCAAAATACCTTTTCAATTGAGACACCTTGAATTTGGTTATTCAATTGTGACCAACATATGTACTGAATGGGACATTTTAGAGATGAAAAATCAACTTGTCACTGTTCTCTGGTGGAAAAACTATGTAATGGAGACAATGCATCTAAATTACCTCGAACATATCTTTGGCAAATTTGTCCTACAATTGATATATTCTGATACCAATATGTCTGTAATAAGATAAGATCAGCAGATAATATCTGGTATATAAATGTGTTGGTAGGTTCTACAAGATATCCACATAAATTCTTTATGTATTGGAATATGAAGAAATGTATCATCTTGTGCCTGAACATTAAAACCTGCAGCAAACTTGCATCATTAAAGTCTCCTTTCCTGTCCTTAAAGCCAGAGAAACAAGCTCAGACATCTCTGCAGTGTTTGGGTTGTTTGCCAGAAAGTGAACGAATGAAGACGTAGAGGACACAGACAGACTGATTACAGGACAAGACTGACTGATTTTGGAGAGCTCAGGAGAGGAGGGGGTGCTCACATTTACAACCAGGACACACACTCTTTAGACTTTCTAGAAGACAACCTGACAAACAGCTTGTCGTTCCTGTGTCCTTCAATGAAATGGCGCACTGACAACGAGGACAGGGAGGACGAAATGAAGCATGTGGTACCAGATTTTGATCTGTACAGCTGAGATGTGTACGACAAGACAGATCCACATCTGTCATCACCGTGCACAGAACAACACATGACAGCAAACAATATCACGCGTCCCTTCTCATTAAAACATGAATATACGCTTTCAAACAAAACGTTCACGTTCGTAAACGCTCACCAAAACAGCGTTCCTGGCAGCACATATAATGTGTTTGCCGTCAGCAGTCCAGGTGCTGCACTTGACGAAGACCTCTTCATCGCTCTCTGTGAACATGCTGCTCACATTGATTGTCTTCCACTCATTGGCAGACGACGCCTGAAACAGCTGCAAACACACAACAACACAGAGGTTTGAGCATGTCAGCACAGGATAAGACCTAAAAGTGCTGTAGTTTCATGGCATATGTTTTTCACAAATTTCACAAAATTTAAATACAAATAACAATAAATGTGGCACAGTGCATCAAACTCTTATAAATCGTGAGCAGTTTAAAGGACATTGCCTTAGAAAAACACAGCTTTACAAGTATCTAGTTTAAAAGGCACTCACCTTAACAGTGCCATCGTTGGAGGAAGTGGACACATATGTGTCATCAGGGGAGAAACAACAATGGTTGACTGGCTCAAAGTGGCCAAACATGGTGTTCTGGCAGGTTGGCTTGTTGAGGTTCCACACCTACAGAAACAGAGAAATACAAAGAAAAAGAGAGAATGGAAAAAAATACATAAAAAGAGGGAGGCAGACTACACAAGGAGGGAAGGTAATAATAAGGTAATAATATACATTTAAATAAGTCACAAGACAGGAATGTATGTATGTAACTCAGACTCACACACCTTGACATTCATGACCTTGTCGTTGGAGCAGGTGGCCAGGAGGACTTTTCGTCTTGTGTTTGTAAACTGACAGTGGTTGACCTGCTCTTCATGCTCCTCGGCAAACACCCGCAGCAGCATGGCGCGCTCCACATTCCACACCTTTGAGACAGTTTCAAGAATTTTAGGACAAAACAACAGAAAAATTCCTTTTTTATTTTATTATAACATTAGTATGCATTTTATTTGCCAGTTTGTTGTTGTAATCAAGTTGATTATAATGGACAATTGGACCATTATCCGCTTACCTTTACTTTCCTGTCACTAGAGCAGGTTGCTAGGAGACGGTCATCAGGGGAGAAGGCACAGCAGAGAACCTCATCGTCATGGGCCTGGATCTCTGTGAGTTTCTCTCCTGAGGTGCTTTTAAACACCTGAGCACAAAGGTACAATTGCAGCAGTTACATGACAATACCGACATGCAGTAAAAATACCGAATTACTCAACAGGGACCACAACTTTACTTGAGATGACGATTTTACAATGATTATAAATTTTATCTATGTTATTACTTTTGTATTATTCTTTGTTCTTTCCCAGGACCAGATAAATACGTAAATCCCCTTAGTTTTGCAAAGAGCATTCTGACAACAGTGCTGCATTTTTTTTTTAAATAAACAGACTTCTGGCCTTCTCGCTCTTCATATTTTCCAGTATTTTGTCTCCATGGAAACTATTTGCCCTTCACAATTTTACACACACACACACACACACACACACACACACACACACACACACACACACACACACACACACACACACACACACACACACACACTCAACACGTCTGCTTTAATACCTTGAGTGTCTTGCTGGCTCCACAGGTGGCGATCTTGGCTCCATCGTGGGAGAAGCAGGCAGAGTAGATAGGGCCCTGGTGGGGGTGGATCACTAGACGGGACAGACTCTCAACACTGCTCTTATTCCTGGACAAAAAAAACACACACAGAAAGAACAGTCCACACTCGGATACACAGCCTGTGATCTCCAGCAAACAAGAGCTACCAATAGGGATAAAATATTCTGCTTGTTCAGTTTACTAGAAGTATGTTGCAGCAGATGAATCAAAACCAAATATAAGACTGACTATCTGAATACATTTGTCTCATGTCACTTTAAATGAGTGATTTGATGCTATTGGATCATTCCATTTCAGATGCACTAAAGAGTAATGAATGTTTCACACAATAACTGCAGGTTTATCAAGTGAAAAAATGCACTAATTATTGCTTTATCTCAATATGTATAAATGCAGAAATCTTCTACTTAGCGAAGTAATAACTGTTTTTATTATCATCATCATTATTATTATTATTATTATCAACAATGATCTAATAGACACATGAATTTCCCCAAGGGGATAAATAAAGTATCTATCTATCTATCTATCTATCTATCTATCTATCTATCTACTCAACTGTGCACACATATTGCAGCAAACCGAGTGAATTTTAACATAACTCATCCATAGATGCACAACAAGGTCAACGTTTGACTTGAATTTAACTTCATTATTTGAAGATTCACACATAAAACACTATATGAAATTGTTTGCTTGCTTGCGTACAGCCAGTCAAAGTAGAGTTTCCCTGTGCTGGTGCCGTCCTGTGCCTGCTGCAGAGCCTGTCTGTAGACCTCAGAGGTTTGTGGCTGAGACAGAGCTAGCTGCACCACGTCAGGGAAAGGACGCTGCTCCAGCTGGTGGCCGTTCAGAGACAGAAACTCCTGGAACTGACTGCGCACTTCACTGTTCTGGGAGGACAGGAAAAACAAGTACACATCAGTCCACTACAGGCTATAGGGCATGTTAAAGGAAAACTACACAAGACTTGTTCAGTGTAATTAGGACAAATATTCTTCACTAAGGACTCAACAGAAGTTTAATCTCTGAATAATTACTTGATCTCAACACATAATTTTGTGTAATGATAATGTTTAATGCTATTTCTGTATTGTTATCTGCTCACCTCTTTGTCCAGAATTGGTCCATACTCCACATAGTCATTGATGAGGTGAGCTGGACCCATTATCTGGGACTTGATGCTGACCCAGTCCAGAGAAAACATGAGGGAGTAGAGCTCCTAGACAGAAAGAACAAGACAAGAGTGACAGTCATGGTGAGCAAAAGCGAGATAATAACACCCTGTTGTCAGTTTTCTGTCATGTAGAGTGGCTGTCCATATCGAAATACAGTGCATGTGTGTTGAATAAATGTTGAGTTTGTTAGAATGAGTTTTGTTAAATGATTATACAAAATGATGATATTGCGTAGACATGAATCCTTTGAAAATTGAGAGGCTAAAATATTGTACTCACACGTATCTGTATGTGTGTGTGTGTGTGTTACCTGGGAAAGGTTGGCTTTGGCCATGTGGTAGGTCAAAAATCTGATCCAATAAAGACACTCTTCATCTCCTGAGGTGGGAGGAGCATCTCTGTAGTGCTGCTGATACTGATGCACCACTTTAGCGTGAAGGCACTGAAATTGACGAAAGTGTCTGTTAACTTCACTTAAGTTAAGTAAATTTGTTAACTGTTGATGTTTGAATTATACCCACTTTATCTTATGCTTACCAATACCTCTCTAAATCCCCCTTGCTTAATTGACAACTGGCCAATTAACAAAAAAAACTGAACTCACCTCGAGCTGGGTGCGGTTCTGCTCCACCAGGAAGTCCAGCTGGAGGTCATGGAGGTAATATAGGCAGGGTTTATTGTGACAGTCTACAAAAAGCAGGGACTTGTTGACAAACTCCTCGAGAATGTCCTCCACCTCCTCTGTCTCCAGGTCCCACAGAACAGACAGCACCTGGGAGAAGGAACAACATTGAAGTTTGTGTAATCTTTGAAGTGATGGGAGTCCATTGCCTTATGTTTTTCTGTATAAGAGAGTCTTATCCAAATACTAGAACATAGTGTGATGTTTTTTCCAAGTAATTGTCAAAGGTTAAGTCCTTTACAAGTAGCAGGATGAAACATGTTTGGTTTTCTAATCCAAGACCACAGAGAGACATTTCTGTAAGTATTTGTACAGTTGTAATGCCTCGTATTATAAAATGAGTAGCCAACAGAGTCATGTCAAACACTCTTGTTGTGTAGCCAAACCTTAGCAGGGATTTTAATGTCCTTCTCTATCACAGTGAGGTCCTTGTAGAGCTCTCGATGTTCATCAGGCAGGACCTCAATGCTTGCCGCCATGGCTTGGTCCAGGGCGTCGTAGTCATAAGATGATGACTTTCGTATACGCTTGAACTGCTTCTGCTGCAGCTGGCAGAGGTAGTAACGCCAACGGTTGGGTTTCTCTTTGAGCAGAGCCCCGATCAAGGACACGACCAGAGGGGAGCCTGGGATGGTGGCACAGAGAAGTAGAAAAATGCACAGTATGTGAGCAAAAGTACAGCTCCATATACCTGCAAAATGATGACACAACAACTAACTACATTGCTAATATTGTGTTGTTTTCTTTTACAATCCTATGAGAAACATTCAACTACTTTAAATCTACATGCCCGATTGTATATGTAACAATATCTGTGATTTACACTGTAACCAAAATTACAGATTGCAAGCACAGTAAGTTTCAGTGACAGACCTTTACATTCTCTCACAATGCAGCGAGCTTCCTCGGGTAGTCCTTGTGGTTTAGTTTTAGTGTAAAGAGCGAGGATCTCCAGTCCTTTGCTTTCATCCAGACCACTCTCCACTTCCACCTCATATTTAGCACCTACAAAATAAAAGTACAACTATAGTGCACACATTTTGTAGGCACAACAGCCTATTCCAGAGTACACAGACGATTTCATTCATTCAATGTTTGTGTTTGTATAGTGGCCAGAGTAAACTACAGGGTACGTACCACTAACTGAATCAGTGAGGCTTCTATTTCTGGTGGTCAGAATTATCCGACAGTGGATGTCAAACACCTTCAGTACTGTACTGTCCCAGACGTCATCTAGAATCAGCAGAGATCTGAAAACCAGAAAGAAAAAACTGTAATGTTTACCACAGCACCTAGCAAGGGTAATTCACACAGTAAACAACATAAGTATTTAAACAAATAAGTAAAAATCATCTAGCCTTCTTGTAGTTTTCAACCCCATTAAAACAATACCAATTCAATTCAAGCTAAAAATCTTATTAATCAATTAATAATAACAAATGGCTGAAACACCTGCTATAGCTGATACAAGTACAACATCTGCCACCCTTGAAAATGATTTGGTTATGTAAATTTCTATTTCTATTCTGGCTGTTAATTTATAGTAATATTGTCCATCATTATGTGTTTCTATAACATATATTATCATTTTATTATGTCAATCTACAGTTTTAATATGACATTGCTTTTTTTTAATCTATCTTTGCCCTTTAACCATGGTTTGTTTTTGTTTCTGTTTTTATCTTGTTATTTACAATTAATTATGCAGTAAATACTGATTAATGATTACATATGTTTGGTATTTGGAATTTGTTGCTGTTCGCCACACAAGTGCTTTTTATATTGCTGGAATGTCAAAATTAACGAGCCATATTCAATGGAATGTAAATTTGCATCTGGAATTTACAGCAGATAAAGGTCAACATTAATATTTAGCTAACTGAAAAGTGCATCAGGATTATATGAGCATGGCAACCTTGGATATTTGCGCAGCATGAGGAAGCGTAGCCGCTCCTTGGCTTCATCCAGAGAGTTGGGAGGCCGGTGGAGGCACTGGGAGTCCAGGCTCTGCTCCAAACGGAAACACAATGACTGGATCTTCACCAGCAGGTCTGGTTTGTCCAGCTGGCCGATGGACAACCAGTGGATGCCTCCAGGAAAGCACTCTGCAGATGGAGGCACGGGGAGGGGGAGGGAAAAGTCAAGAAAGTCAAGACAAGAGGTTAGAAGCTAGCTAAGCTTACAACTAAGCAACCATGCTGGAAACTATAATGCCAGTGAGAATGAGAATTACTTCAGTAAATACTTCTGCAAACTTTGACTGTTTCAAAGTAATGTATGCTAACAGTTAGTGTTAGGCAGCGTCGGTCAAAGATGATTCACCTTCAATGACCCCATGGTGTCTGACAGCCTCTGCAACCAGGACAGATTTGCCCGAGCCAGCCATCCCGAAGACAGTGACCCAGCCAGGGTCCTTCAGCAGCCGATAGAGTTTCTCCCTGACCCGGTTCAAAAGCTCTGGTCGGTTGACAAACACCACAGGCCTCTGCGGTACACCACCTTCACTTAGCATCGTCTGGACTATGACACAAACAAGAAGGGGACTGACATTAAAGAAGACCTGTAGAAAGTTCCAACATGTATAAATTAACACTTATGTATCTACTACTAAGAACATTTTTCTGTTGTGTTAACCTAACATGTCTAACCAAAACAACAGTCCCACAACCGGCAGTGACTACTCCTTACTTTAAATTTTTTCTCCAACACTCATAGAATCCCACACACTTACAGCACAGCCGTTCAAACATCCACTTTCTCTCCACCCACGACTTCCCCCTTTCTCACCATAAGATGTCAAGCCATCAGAGCTGTTCTTATGTGCATTTGGTGAGATCTGTGGTAAGTCATCATGAAGCAGATTGGCCAAATCATCATATGCCTCTTTGACCAGGGCGTTGTAGAAGGAGATGTAGGCACAGTTGTCCTTCCTCAGCAGCAGCTCCAGCATGGCCACAGCCTGTTCCTTCCTGGTGGGCTGGTCAGAGAGAGATAGTAGAAATGAGATGTGAACATTACGATACGGTTTTTGCATGCAGGTATTTTGATGGTTTCTCATTTGAGCTGGTGAATATTTTCATGATTTAATAACATAACTTGGCTAGAGGAAGCTTTAAAAGGGATATGTCTGCTTTTATTTTATGTAAGACAATAAACGCAGGAAATAAATTGAAAAAAACTAATTGGTATATTACTTTTTACTTTTATAAGTTTTAAAAGAGGGAAAGACTGCATTAAAATCTATTAGTTAAATGATAGTGGGTGAGCAAAAAACATATTTTAAGTGACTGAAAAGTTTATTAATTCTTGGATATCTTTATCGTCATAATAAAAAAAGCATGCAGGAAGCAGGAACAAAAAGCAGCAAGATTTTAAAAGAAGTGCTTAATAAGATTGGTTCCATATTATGAATGATCTCCACTTGGCCCCTCACTCCTACCTTCAGCAGAGGCTCACCTGAGTCCTGATCCTCTCCTCCTCATCCACACTCATCACACCATCACTGATCATGTGGTCCATCAGGTACGGGGGCTTGATGTCTTGTTCCAGTCTGTGGCGAAAGCGCAGCAGACAGCTCCGTGCCCCTTCCTCCATCGTCATCTCTGCACAACACACCAACCATGCAGGGTGCTGTTGCGCTGAAAATTAATAGAGGAAAATGGATGAAGTGTGGCAAGAATAGGTGGCTCAGACCTGCGAGGGGGCAGTGGAATACACTAGATGGCTCAAAGTTGTTGAGAACCAATTATTACCAACCAGGGACCTTCGTTGAATGTCACCCCTCAAAAATATTTAAAGAAACTATGATTTCCCTCATTTGCAGCATCCTGGTGGTCTCAAGGTCTAAAACACTGATCATGTAGATGATAAATCACAGGTTCAGGTCTAGACCTTTGATGCATATTATGTCTCGCCTGTCCATTCCTATCACACCTCTACTATCTACTATCTAATAAAGGCCAAAAATGCTTGAAAAATTACTTGGAACAAAGGGGCAAACAAATGGGCAAATGGGTATGGTCTAACCATGGAAATAGAGCAGAAACAATTATCTTATTAAAACAGAAAATTAAACAAGAACTATTCTGATAATAGATTAATTATTTGAAAAAAAGCTATAAGAAGACTTTATAATGGGATCAGGGGAATAATAATGAGCATTTTCCAATTCTACTGTATAAAATGAGAAGGTAATTGCCAGATTAATCGATAATGGAGATACTTTTTACTTGCAGCCCTACATGAAAAACTAAAAACGACGATTCAAAAAGTGAAAGAAAAGATACTCATCAGCTGTTCACAGAGGTCCAACTGAGGTGAAATTTTACAATGCAGAAGTGACATTTAACAGAGTTTAACAATTTGCTTTAAGATAATACAGTCAAAGTTTAGATAAATCAACGTTACCAACCTGGGTAATATAACGTTTATGGATTAATTTGTTTTTAACAACCTCTTATTATTATTAACAAAAAGGTGTGAGGACAGCTACTTTTTGACAGCTCTACAGTCCTACCTGTCACTGAATGTGAAAGTGAGTATAGATACTAAAAGACAGGGGCTAAAATTATCTCTGGTAACATGCTTTATGGCGACCTTCCGTCTTTTCGGTCACTGACGTTGGACTGACACACTTTGCTCATTTCAATACTTGTCTCGACAAGTTCGCTCACTCTGACCTACTGAAATGAATCAAAGAAAGAAACTGGATACTTACGAGTATCTTCTTTTTCTTTAACGAGGAAGGTGTTTGTTGAGCTGTATATAGTTGAAAGTTGAAGTTACGTTTTAAAGTATCCACCGAGTGAAAAAGCAATTTATTTCCCTGTGTTAATGTTACACTACACACCCAATTTTGAAAGACGGGGGCTTCCTGATTCACAACAAAAACAACTACCCCTGTGAGAGGCAGCCAATTGCGTGGCGAGATTTAAACCACGTGACCAATGAGGTCATGCGTTTGACGAACGTGTAACCGGGCAAACTGCTGCTCCCTTCACAGTGCTCGTCCATATGCATTTTCACACATTTAATTACTTTGGTCTTGTAATAAAAACAAAAACGTGATGCATAAAAGGATTAGTCATATTCATGTAAACTTATTTTTCTAATGGCAGCAGTTTTATAATCAAGTGGCACAGGCGCAATATGTGCTTCTGAAGCGGAAGAGGAAATGCACATGTTTTTATACTTATATATTCTTTACTTGTAATTAATATAAGAATTTTTGTGTACAACGCCTTTATTCTAAATACGTCTCGTCTACTGAATATTACATCATATTACATTACGCAAAATTCGATATTGTAAAATGTAATATCGAAATTCAGTGTCCATTTGTGTAGCGTGTGCAACTCCTAATTGAAAGATTTCCGGACTGTATTTAAAGGTAACACTGCTGCCTGGTGACAGCAAGAGATGAGAGCATGTTTATTCCACAGTACAGTGATGCGCTGATAATGCGGTTATAAGTAGCCATAAACAGATTAACTGCATAATGCTGTGAACATACGACCTTGTAGTCGGATATGGAATGCAATAATAATATACAAATACTAAAAAATCAATTAATAATGGATGTCAGAGAATCAAAATCCAACCACTGTATCTCCACTTAGAGAACACATTATCTAACTGAAATTAATTTGGTCCTTATTTCATCAGTAAAGATGTAATCCTCCAGTGTTCAATGTTCAATATTTCAGGTTGTTGGTCATAACTTCCCTCCTTACTTCAACAGAATTATATAATCGAGGATGTTTACAGTAAAAATCATGTTTTCTAAAATTCTAAATGTATGGCATATATATATATTATGGTACATATTATGGTTTAATGTTGAGTTCCTAGATATACCTCACTTATATCTATTTTGTTATACCCTATTTTGTTATTGTATGGCTTTAAAGATAGTAAGTGGAATCATATACGTAGCTGTATTTCCAAAATTCAGTGCATACATCCAGAGCTATTCTTTTTGCAGTTTGGTTGTGTACTCACTCCTATTTCTGACAGTGGACGACAGGCCATGCATGAGTCCACATTTTGCTTATATACTGTAAAGATATCACTGACATATCATGTTGTAAAATCCTACATGATCACTGACAAGCCAACATACAGTATGGGTCAAACATTGACTTATTCTATATCACCTTTTGGCAGCATGCATATTTTTATATTCATTTTTTAAATAAAGACATGCTCTAATTTGTTCTTTTTTTAATTTTATTATATTAACAGTGGTACAGAAGAAGTTCACAATAACATCCCACATTTTGTGTAAACTTAACTTAACTGCTTTTCTTTGTGCATATTTGGGTCCGCTGGATATTTTGGACGCAAAATCACTTTGACTTCAGCACCTCTCTTTCTCCAACAGGTTTCAACAGCCAATATAACAATACTGTAACAGCTACAGCAACTCAAAATGTAACAAACATAGCAACTAAACCAATATACCAAGTATTCCACTAACAGGATAAGTAAATGTATAGAACAAACAACATATGACAGATACTCTGACAAATTACTAAAATGACAAAATCCCAGCACAAAGCTACTCATGCAGACAAGTCTTATTTCATTATTTGAGAGGTCAAAATCCAAAACATTTATACTTCTATTTTTTGCTGTAGAATAATATTAGTGGATTAAAAAGAACAGACAAAATATAGTTACCTGGCTGATAAAACAGTGGAAAGGAGAATAATCAAAGGACTAATTCAATGGGAAATGGGCTAGTTTTGCATTAGTATGTTCAACAGTTGTCATAGGTGACTATAGTTAAATACTACTCTGCTAATTTTCTTAATATATAGGCTTTACATTTATACCTCTTTGCTTCATAAAGCTTACTGTATGTATTAAACATACTAAGGTTTTGCCCTTGTTTCCCTATGGACTCCCTCTAAAAACAGGGGTTTGACAATGCAGTCACTAGTAGGTTCAGATATGAATCATTGTAACACTGGTTTTCTGGTTTGAAGCTGTGAATGTTCATAGCAGAGCATGTCTTAGAACATTTATCACAAAGGACGCGGGTCACATTAAATGTTGCCCGCATGATGCCTACACCGCAGTGCCTTCACTGCTAAATGTAGTGATAAAAACTACATTTATAATACACTGAAGGTGACTCCAACTATTGGAGTACACTGGTTGAGCAAAGCAGTAGTACTGCCTAGCTACTGTAGTACCTCCTTAGCTTCAGCTATATCTAGTGGCAAAAACACTCCTCAGACAGCAAGAGCCCAGGTTTGGTTTTAATTGGAGGTGACAGAGTCGTGAGCTGTGTTCTGAGGAGGGTTTGCTGCTGGTGGGCTGCTACCAAACATCAGCTTCTTGATGATATCTGCATAGAAAGGTCCATAGACAAGCCTGTTGTAGTTGACCAGAGAGATGAACTTTGCTCCCATCAGTGCTAGTTCAGGCTTGATAGCAGTCAAGCCAGCTGGTACCTGATCAAGTTTGGCCTGGGGTTTAGGATCACAGATGAGCGCCATGAAGTACTGCTGCACACGATCCTCTGAGCAGAAATTAAGAGAAACACAAGGTTAGAAAATCCCAGCTGGAGACATTTCTGGCTCTATTTCAGAGTAAAAATACTCAAAATCTTACCAACTAGAGTTCGGATGGGATTGTCCCCCTGGGTGATGCTGTAGATCTGGCCTGCGAGAGTGGCCTGCAGTGCCGGGGTCAGTGCAGGGTAGTTTCTCTCTGTTAAAGACTTGTTGAGCTCACAGCAGATCTGAGCACTAATGCCCTCAAGTGCCTCTTTCAGGTTAAAGTTCCTAAAGATGAAGGAAAGGCGAGTTCTGGTTTGAGCTCTATTTGATGTGATGCAGACAGTAGATAAACCATGATAATACAGATTGTGGATATGAGATGGAAAGAAAGGTGAACTAACGGTCTGTGCATCCCATCCAACAGCACACTGGTCATCCTCTTCAGGCGGTCAGACAGGGAGGGCAGACCCTGGATAGGCCCTCCGATGGTGCTGTAGACAATGAGCAGCACCTCATTCACTGCCTGACATTGCTGGAGCTTCAACTGAATCTCTTTCAGACGCATCTCGTCTGTTATCCAGGTCTAAATAGGAACCAAAAGAAAAAAAAAGAACTTCAGAATAGCTTGACATTTGGGGAAAGACACTTTTTTGTCCTCTTGCTGAGAGTTAGATGAGAAGATGGATACTGCTTTTACTTGTGTGTGTAAACATGAAGCCACAGCCGAGAGATGACTAGCTTAGCTTAGCATAAAAAAGTGGATGAAGGGGAATAGCTATCCTGACTCTGTCCGAAGTTCAAAACTCTGCCAGAAGATTTCTGTTGTTGTTCCATGCTAATTCATACAAGAATTAAATGTTGAATGGTTACTAGGATAATAATAAAAACTATGTGTGTATGTTATCATTTCTTGTAAACTGAAGAATAGGAGGCCCTTTTAAATGTTAAGGCTTTAGATTTAACAGAAGATCAAGGGAATTACTAATTTCCATGGACATGCAGTTGTTTTGTTTTGTGTCAATGCAGAAATTATTGTATATGTCGATTTAAACAGTATTTTATATGAATGTAAAAGGCTGTATTTCATATTGTTCAAAATTGAATAAAAATATTGTGGAAAAAACTGAAGAACAGTTTAAGGAAGCTTTTGGTTTGCTTAGAGAAAGTTTATATTCCACATGCCTTCCATGAGCTAATGAAATGATACTCTCTCTTACAAACGCAAATTCAACACAGTCTTACCTCAGGCAGTGGGCTCTTATTGTAGTCCCATGTGAGGATACGGAGGAAAGCAGTTTGTAGGATCTGGAAAGGCCCAGGCACAGGTCGCTGTCCTTTCCCCTGAGTCTTTTCTGTGGGGATGTTGGCCGACATCAGCTCCTCCTGGGCTGACTTAATCCAGGCGGTTGTGTGGTTCAAAGCATCTAAAGAAAATTGTCTCAGTAACTCATTATAGTAGTAGTCCTTTTTTTTTGCTTTGACACAATATACAGTCATTCTATTCCAGTATATTCTCATACAACATACATATTCTTCGTCAGTAATATGGCAGGTTACACATCTTGTAACTATCTGCCAACAGAAATGGTAAAACAAAGCTATATATGAAAACTTTTTTCTTGCTCACTTACTGGGCGTTTTTTCCAGGATGCTCTGGAAGTTTGCCCTTTCATATTCAACACTCTGTCTCTGCAGCACAGGCCGCAGGTTATCAATTGTAAAGTTGGCCATATCCATCTTCATCAGGTCCAGCACACGGAAGATCTCCCTGGTGTGGAGAAACAACTCAGCCACCTTGATTTGAGTTGTATTTTATAATATAGCTAAATAAGAAAACTCACAACATTCATGTGTTTTCTCAAGGCGGACAATATAGTTTCTGGTAATAAACATTTGATGTCAGCATTGAAATGTTTTTAAATGCTTAAAACCCCAACTATGTGCTTACCTGAACAGTGTCACAATATTATCTGTGTTTTCTCGCAGCTTCTTAATGTCCTCATCCCTCACCGGTGCACACATCTTGCCCATGGTGGTGATAATGAAAGAGGAAAGGCCCTGGATGTCTACAGCATCGTTGTCAGCCTGCTGACGAATCAGGTCCATGTCCAGCACCTCCATGATCTGGGTCCTCATTCGATTGGCACCAGGATTAAGGAATGACAGTAAGATCTGTCAAAAGACCAAAATGATTGTCATTTTTATAAAGCATTATTTTATAATACAACTAACTTACAGTTATGTTGCTGCATTTACTACAGTTTATCTGAATATACTAGTCAAAACAGAAGTGACGGGGATAAAGAGAAGCAGATGAGTTACAAAAGGAACTTTAAAATTTGAAAGCACTGTTATAAAGGTCAAGCAACATCAGGAAAATGCAATAAAGTCATTTCTATAAATCGAGTGAAGCTCTAAACAGCGGATTGTGTGTGCTGACCTCTCTGATCTCCTGCAATAGTCTGATGGCTTGGCCATACTCAGGCGGGTCATCGTTCAGCTCCGACTCCAGGATGTCCCAGAAGGCCTTGTGGAGATTATCTCTAACTACCTTCCATAAACTAAAAAAATAAATGGAGGATTTTGTTTAGTTAAGTATATTATCTGTCAGGAGCAATGGTCAGTCAAGTGCTGTTATCACTGGTAAGGATGGTGGACCAAGAACTAAATAACAGTGACCTGTATCACTGATGAAAAACAATGCTGTGATTGCTGCCAGTAATCCTATGCAGTCATTAATTACTATAGGGTACTGTGCTGTCCCTTTCTTCAGACTTCCACTAAAGAATTTATTTTGTTCTTTTTCCCTGTCTTCCCCTCATCTCTCTTTTTCTCTGTCCTCTTCGCTCTCTTGTTCAGTTCAAGTTGTGCTAAAGATAAACAGAGACAGACAGATGGTCAGTGAATACAGTGGTAAAGACTATAAGTGACATGGTCATCACTTCTCATCTGTCTCTGTATTGTGAGAGAAAACTGATAAAATTCAATTCACAACCAAAGAGATGTATTTGATTGAAGGGTGTACCTCAATATGATTTCATACTTCACAATATTACAGGGACAGTAACCTACATGTGTTTATTAGATGTGGAAAAGTTACAAATGTTGGTAATGTTAGATTGCATGCAAATCATTAGTATTAGTAGACAAACACCTATATAATGTATATGCAGTGTACATCATATCTCTGTTGGTATTTTTAAACTGGCTGAACTTGCTTGTTGATGCAGTTTGTCTGAATTTAACAGGTTTTGACTGATTCACTTGCAGTTTGGCCACAAATAATGGTGTCTCTGGATTTCTGCTGTCCCAGGTAACTTGCATATCAGCGTCTGTGTCTGTCCCCTTTACAGCTAATGGACACCTTCCTGAGATGTACACAGAATTTTGTCAATATTGTGAAGCAAATCATAGCTACAACAAGCAGCTCTCTCTGATCACTAAATACACCTTGTTCCACACTGGAGGAAAAATCTCTGAACAGAGCAAATTAACGAATGGGTGTTGATAAACGATGGGAGTTGACATGAAACATACATACTGGAAAATTTGACTTCTCCACTGTATGTTCTGGAATGAAAAATGTGTATATTCATGTTTCAAATGCTTATGTAAGACTTTAGTACATTAACAAAAGAATACTAGTAGTATGGGTGATAGGATGCTGTATTTTTATATTTTTGTAAATCCCTTACCTGACAATTGGTATTTAGATTCACAAAAAAAAAAAAACTACAAAACATGATCAAAAGAAGATGAAGAAATGGAGACACAAGATATTATGCAGCTGGTATACCTGTTCTGAGGTAGTCTGTCTGGCTCTAGACGGAAGTTGTGGTTAACAATGATCTCATGGGTAAGGCTGAGATTGGAGACATCTGAGACAGACTCCATGACTTCATCCAGGGTTAAGGTTTTGGGTGGGCTCGCTGTGGGAACCAAATAATAAACAAACTTTGTAAATAAACAAATAAGTTCAACTGTTACGGCTGCATGATGGCAGTGGTGTGGGCAGTTATTGATAGAATGCGATTACAGTTAAAATACAGTCTCTGAAACGCAAATACAAGTATGAACAAAACAGTAATATAGATGACATTTTCAATGTGCAGAAATCAAGCCACCTCATATGCCATCTCTGAGACGGGAAAACAAACATGGACACCAAAATGAAAACAGTAAGCCAGAGGTTGTCCAGTGGGCTCAGAGAACAGTGACCAGAAAAAGGTTGAGGGTGCAAACTCACAGGAGGGCGAGCAATGCTTGCTGGAGCAGTCGCTAGTGAAGCTTTCACGGGAGCAGTCCAGGTCGCTGGTCGACGTCATGCTGTCACAGCGCTCTGATGACGACTCCACATCACTGCCTTGGTCCTCACTGCTGGATGTGGAGGTGGGTCGCTCATCATTTAGAGGCATCTTGGGTTACAGCTGCACATCAGAAATTAGTAATAACCGTTAGTTAATTGACTATAACTTCAGAAGAAACTCAACTTGATCAGAAAGTCACATGTCAATGGGTATTTTACTACTTTCACAAAAATTTGTAAAGAGCAGGTTTAGAATTTAAATGGAAAGTTAATCATTGCTCCTTTCATTTGGAAGCAGTTAAACTGTAAAAGCAGTAAAAGATGTGTGACATTTTTTATTACACTGGGTGACACGATCCTCCATTATAAAGAACACAGACACTGTAGTTATTTTTGTGGCAATCCCATATTCAAACTGACCCGCTACTATAATTACTCATCAGAAAAACAAAAGTGTATTAAGGTTGTATTATGCCTGGACCACTTCATAGACTATTTGCACTATGGCCAGTGTCAGTTGTTTTCAGTCCTTTATTAGTTTTCTTCTCTCCTACTCTCTGTGCTCACATATACAGTGTTTTAATCTTAATACAGACATATTTCCAATAAAGCTTTTCTCAGTTTTCTGTTGTCAGACAATGGAACAAGTATTAAATATTTGACTGAACAGTGGCCTATTAAGACTACATGTACAGTCACTTTCAAGCACTTTCCAAGCTTCTGCGCTGCACTGCTAAAATCCAGATTTTACTTAACTGTGGTGTTGTCTGACAAAATCACAAAACATTGCTGTTCTGTGCTCCTCCTGAGGCAGCTCCTCCTCCAGACCTGCTCTTCACATCAATGCTTGTTCGCGCTAAATCTTTTTAAAAGACTAACGACCAATGGGGGAACTCCAACGTTCTGCCAGCCAACAAGTGGTGAAACCTTATCATTCAGTCATGCAGTATTCGGTTGACCAATGGTGTGACTTTATCTCTCAGTCAGTCAGTCAGTCACGGACAGTTGCGTTACAGGCCTGGTCCCACCATTAACAGTCCAGCCAAAAAGAAAAGTAATCTTTACCTTAGTCTAACCTGTGGTTGTGTTAGAAGGACAAAGAAAGTGTGACTGTCAGTGAGAGCGAGAGCATAAATGTTTCACTTTAGAAATAGTTGCTGTTGCCAAGGCAGTTAACAGAGTGTAACAAAAACACCAGTTAAACTCAATAAAACAACTGGCAAGCCAGTCACTATGGAAACAGAGATAGCTGCCTTGTTCCACAGTTCAGTGTTTCAACATAAACATCTTATTAAACTCATTGATGGTGCATGAAGTAATTTATTAGAAAACACTCCAATGTGTTCAGTGTGTGTTTACTGCCACAAGAGTTGACAACACATCCCAAAGTCAGGACACAAACAGAGCAAATTTCCACAACTAGGTGTAAACAAAAGCCTGTATTCCTTCAAAATAAAAACAACAGAGTGCCCAGGCCAATGTGAGATCAATTGTGTCTCCAGGGCAACATGGGACAACAGAAGGCTTCTCAACGGTCAAGACGATCCTGTTACACCGGTCCCTCTGTTGTCTGTCGTCCACACAAACAAAAATTAGTACAAGAAAAAAAGGAACTGTTTGTAAGCAAAGTTAAAAAATCACGAGCTAAAGCCAAACTGGGTGAACTAATGTTCTTGTCATTGCAAACATACAAACAACTCACATACTTGACTAAATAAAAACACAAAAATGTTGAAAATGTTGATTGTTGTAGCATCTACAATTAAGCAGGCTTCTGCCTTTCTAATATTATCTAAAACATACAGTGCTGACAGAGTGACCCTTGGGTGTTGGTGTCTCTGGTCTCAGTTATCTGCTGCCAAAAATGAAATGCACACTCCCTCACTGATCTTTTGGTTTAAAGATAGCTCAAGGGGTGAGGAGGATGGGTGTGAGTGTGACTTCCGTGTGCCCCTGCTTTGCTAGAAGCTCATTCATTACATCATCTGCTAGACTTGACAGCTAGGTCACAGCAACACAGCGGGCCAATTTCCAGAGATTATCTAGAATGATGGGAGCAGTGCAGTCCAGAAAACTGATTGCAGATTAGGTCTACTCTCTCATCTGCTGCTTCATTATGTGAAATCCTCTTTAAGTAGTCTGAATGTTGGACAGGATAAAATGTATTATGATGTTGTAACAGTCCCATAATACAAACACATAAAGATAAAAATAAAACATTCGACATATAGAGCGATGCTTAATGGGATTTGTAGTCATTTAGAATACTACTGATTCATTTATTTTATGTATATATATATATATACACTGTTGACTGTAAGATACAGCATTGTAATGTAATGTGCTGACAATAATATATTTGCAAGAATATCCTTATAACCTGCCCAAGTGTTTTGGATGAATGCCATGAACAAAATACATAAGCAATGATGTAGAATGTACTTTCTATAAGCACAGTTGCTCTGCTACAGGTCACATTTTGTTACAATAACTCCTGCAGAAACAAAGACAGCCTTCTGGGATCCAGATTTGACTGCAGCATAATGTAAACAAAGCAGTGGATCAGGAAGGCTGGGCTAAATACACGGGGGCTGCCGTTATTGGCTGCAGCTCCCTGTCGCTCATCCGTACATGGAAGATCTTTGGTTACATGGCTGTGCACATGGATAAAAAATATCCACACACGCGTAAGAGGTGGGTACACGTGATCGAGCTATATACCAAAACAAGACATTTAGTACATGTTATTACTATGACCACGCCAGAACCCAAACAAAAAGAGCATTAAGACTAAATGCATTACGCTTTTACTGCAAAGGACATTTTTTGTACCTAACTGTCAAACTCCTCGCTGTTGTTTGCAATATGACAGCTTCTTTGTTAGTTAACCAGTCAAACGCCCTGGCTACAACAGCTGAATATAAATCGTGAATTTGGCTAATTTCCAACGGCATACTTTGACGTTACCGTTGACATGCTAGTTGTTATTCGAAATCTTCGACGACTGTACCCAAGTTTCCGTTCCACAACAACACAAGAAATAAACATAAAAGTTGGCAACAGAGGCGACCGAGTGATTCATAATTGTAAATTGAGTGAAATATTCTCAACAAAAGCGACTTTTACCTCATTCAAGTCTCCGAAAAAGGAGACTAACACCAAAAATAGCTCAGCTCTGAAGGGAAAATTCGGCGTCGTCCCGTACTGTTCTCCGCTCTGTTTAAAGGTCCTCCGTCCCCCAGCTGGCTCTGAGGGCAAACGGACGAGACCATTTCACACATAGGGGTGTTCAGCCTCCAAACAAAGGTGAACACGAAGTTTATGACGATGGATCCACCCGTTTTCGTAAAGAATTGTGTTTAAAATTGTCAACCGGGAATCAAAATGTATACGTCCGTTCTCTAAAGGCAATGTAAGATAGTATTTCAAACTATACCGTACTTAGTTGAAATAGTACACTCCGCTCTGCTTCACGTGGGACGTCTTTGTTTACGGATGTGACCTCAGTGTTTTCCATAGACTGTATAAGTGTGTTCACACAGCACTGTATGTGTGTGTCTGACGTGTTTTTAATACTGCTACCACTACTACTATTACTATTACTACTACTACTACTACTACTACTACTACTACCTCTACTACCACTACTACTACTACTAGTATTACTAGGTAGTGCTAGTAATGATATCAATAGATATCAATAGATTTATGGGAAAGTAATGTAAAAAGAAAAGAAAAAAAAGAATGTCTACAAGTCCCTTTTAGACAAGTAAATTACAAATGGTTAAGTTTCACAGCAGACTTTAAATTTTTTTTATTATTTTTTTTTTATTTGCATTTTGAACATAACAGAACATAACAGATAGTGGTAAGAACACATATACAATAAGACAAACAGACATGTACATTAATCAGACACATACGTATGTAAGACTTGAAACAACATCAGGTGGCTGCTACTTGATTAAAGTGCTGTACTTAAGAGCCTCTGGCAGAAGCCGTGGCTCATCCCACGCTGGCCTTTTCCAGGTGGACAAGGAAGGGGTCCTAAATGGTCAAAACCCCTATAATTAGGTCAGTCCTCAAAAACCTGAGTTTTTCCATCTGTGTGACTGAGATCATGTCAGCTATCCATCTTTGAGAGGAAGGAGGAATCTGCGATTTCCATTCTCACAAGATTCCACCAAAGTGAGAGTCAGTTGTGTGGCTTTAGGGAGGTGTGCAGTGGGTTGCGAGCAGCCAAGAATGGCAAGCTCAGCCTCTGGTTGGAAAAGTCCCGTATAGGCCTTGGAATACCGTTGAAAAATTTTACACAGCAGACATTTTGACTTGTAACATTTTATTCAAGTGACTCAGTAAGCTATGCCAGTGTGACAGTTGAGCCAACATGCACAACACCAGCACCCGTAACTGAAGCAGCTAAGTCAGTGTTCATTGTTTTAATATGTATTGTGATTTACTTTTTGCCATTTAAGTGATTTTCTTACTGTGACACGTCAAAGTAGCCACTAGATGGTGTCATGGTCTCTGCGATTGCTATTTGCAATAGAGTTCACTAGGGATGAACTAGGAGATGCTTCTTTGTAGATAAAAATCATGGATGCAGCCTATTGTAAGACCTGGATACGGCGCCGCCGCACTGCCTTGCAGCCATTTTTTCCCAGTGGCCACTCGCGGTATTGCAGCGGAGAAAATGCCCTGCGGGCCAAAAAGCTAAGAGACGCCTGTAAAACTGTTGACAGGTCTGGCTGTAAAGACAGTCAATTGTTAATCTTTGTATTGTATATTTTTAAGCCATGCACTTGTAATCTTTGTAAAACTTTTCCAAAGCCCGGAAAAAGCCCAGGAAAGTATTCTTTTTCTGGATGACGTTACTGCGGTGTATGTGGGTACTTTTCTTCAGTGTATTTAATTTGGTCAGTCATTTACCTGATGGATGATCGTAGTGATCTGTGTGCCAGCAGTATCTCAGTCTGACTAAAGTTCACCAGCCTGTCTTCCGCTGACAACAACCACATTCATTTAGTTTATGGCTTAAACTGTCTTACTGTGGTAAAATTATAACTCTGACCTGAGAGTGGTGGCCTGAGATGGCGCAACCTGCTCCCCTTCTCCCACCTGTCCCTTAGGAGAAGAGCCGTCCTGGACGTTGTCATCGTCGTCTCTCTTACTCCCCACGTCGTCATTGTGTGTTCAGTATGCAGCATCCTAAATGTTCAAAGGTATTCATTATCATTTACATTAAACCTTTTTTTTTAATCCTTTTGATTTATTCCACTTTTTCAAATCAAATATCTGGGACAGTAATGTATTGAACGAAAATACCTGGGTTCTGTGACAGCTACATTTGTGGACATTGAAATTCTGCAGTGTTGGGGAAATATTGTAAAAGTATTGAACTATTTCATAACAAAGAGTCACATAATGCAGCCTGCAGGGCAGAGAATAGTCACAAATAAAAGAGCTTCGCTTTCTTTTTTTTTTTTGCATTAATTTTACATATACAATATGAAATGACTTCATTTATGAATATATTTAAATAGGAGTAAAACTGAAATGGCTTTGGTGGATCAAAGTGGTAAGATGATGAAAAGCAAATGATCATGGACAAAATCTCAGTTTAAAAAAATGACCAAAATCAACACATACATACAGGGTTTGAGATAATGTTTCCATACTGTGAATAGCGAAAATGAAATTCCAGTCATGGAAGAGTATGTAAAAATCAATTAAAATAATGTCATTGTATGGCAAGGTTACTGCAGACTTTTTTTTAACTGTAATTTTACAGTTGAGTGTTTTTTTCTTTCTTTTTTTTTACCACAAGCCACAATCAATGTGGAATCAATCTCATGTTTGTAGAAACAACAGACAATTCAGGTGAAACGACTTAAGTCTTTTACTTCGAGCCCATACTTGTCAGTGTCCCAGACTGAAAGGTAATTTGGCAGATGCTGTTTTTGTTAGAGTACTATTAACCCCAGTACCATTTGTTAAGATCATGAAAAGCTTGGTATCTTCTGTTCTTTTGTAAGTAACTACAAGTCCTGCAGGCATGTTCTTGGCCAAACCCACCCAATTGAACTTCAAACCTGTTTTTCCAATTGAAGTATTTCATGTATTCAGTAATATTTTGGTTGAGGTAAAGTATCCTCTCTGCCAACTCCTTTGGAGTGGAAAAGTCATCGACATGAATGAAAGAATCCGCTGGGATGTGTTCCTCATAATTTTGTCTTGGAGGTCCCAAAACTATTGGTACACTTCCTAGCTTCATAGGACGAAATAACTTCTCTGTAATATAGTCTTTGTAAATAGAGTTTTCAAAGGAGAAGTAGAATTTACAACTAGAGATTATCTCCGTATAGTCTTGATCACTAACACGTTGCTGAAAAGCCCTCCCGTAAGTGTTTATCTGGACATGTTTTTTCAGTTCATTGTAGAACTGAACTCTTCTGAGGTTCGGATTCCAGTTGCTCACAATCCAACAGACCAACTTGTCCTTTGGTGGCAGTTCAAAACTCTCAATCCCAGATGATAGTGGCAACAATTGCCCATAAGGCACAGGAATATTTGAATCGAGGCGATAACTGCATGTCAAGTTGAATAAGTGATTGATTTCAGGGATTTGACCAGAGTGTGCAGGTGACTCCATATTAAACCACACCCATTTCTGAAACCAGGGACGTGGCTCTTTTGGTAAAGATGCAACCGTTATGTCCCTGTGGTGGAAGATGACCCCGTGGGCTTTATGGTAGAGAGACTTGTCATCTGTCAAGTGGCATCTGATATTGAATATATTGCAGTTGAGATCAAACTTGGAGCCAAATGGCCACATCCAGATCAACAGAACAGTGTTGAGCTCAGCGTCCACTGCTGCAGCCTGGACCCTCTGGGTGTCATTATGAAGTGAGTTGATGTGCTGGTCTGGTGAATGGTTCGAGACCTGGGCCTGTACTTCCTTTGCACACAGAGATGTGGGGAACTTGATTTCAGGCTTGTAGTACACAAAGAAAAGGACTAGGGTACACACTACCAGCAGGCAGCTGAGGGCAACCTGGTGCAGAGAGGGCCTGTGGAAGCTTGAGGACATGGTTCACCTTTGGAGAGAAAATAGATCTGGTTATTGTAGACAGAACATTTGATCTGACAATACATTATGTTGTCAGGTGTCCTATGGGCAACCAGTGTAATAGTAAAGCAAAAAAAAAAAATGTTTATCATGCAAAGTGAATTCATAATGATACCAAAGTTATGAGCCTTATATCTTAATTAAAATAGATATATTGTTATGTGTTAATTTACCTGCTACATACGTGCAGGGTAACCCGTGAGCCAGAGAGAATCTTAACACATCAGGATGGCAAGAGGCAAATGATGTTCCTAAAGCAGGTTATTCCAGGTAAACAATAGCTCCTCATTTGTTTGATGATAACACATTAAGAGGAACTTTTGACAAAAGCAAATAGATGAAACATCTTGGGCTTTATGAAGAGGAGTAAATTACATTATTTTAACCTTAATGTTCAACACGTCCATTAAACATTTAAAAAGTGAGATGTGCTTTAAAAGTAATAAGTAAAATCACATAATCAATCTCTTCCACCTAAAACCAGAAGTTATAGCGGTACTATGGTAAGTGAGAAATACTGGAGCTAAAATTCCATTCACTTTCATTATTTCATATTTAGTTATCGTTCTTATTTTTTTAACTTTTTGTCAGATTTCTGATGAACCCCCGTCTGATATCAACCATCTGAAGCAAAAACCACTGGACGTCTATTTCACTGATGTACCCGACGAGCTTAATGAAATGTTCAACTGATGTCTGGAGAGGGTTGCACATGTGGAAAAAGACTGTTCAGCACAATGGACAAGAGATAGTTAGAATTTCTCACAGGCATGATACAGTCAGCTCTGTACTTTTAACTTTGAAAATGTCTGATGAAATGACCTAAAATTTTACTACCATTAGAGTCAATTGAGGCAAAGCAAATATTCAAATGAGAAACATAGACCAGCAATCTCACCTTCAAGTAGAAAAGCACAGGTAAAAAAAAATACTGCAGAACTTTTGCGATGGTACAGATCCTGTGAATGTGGCATTTACAAGGAAGTGTCCCCTTATGTTTTTATTGAGTCTCAAATGTTCTTCGTCATCTGATAAGCTGGTACTTCACTGTAGTGGCAGGAAGTTTATTCACTGGACTTTATATCGATGCTTTCAGGGCAGGGACAACATTTGAAACCATATTCTTCTCTCATTTAAAGCAGGAGAGATAACACTGCCCCCCTGTAGGGAAACACCTACTTTTATATTTACCTCATACAATGACGAATGCAAATAGGACACCATGTTAGAGTCACAAGACATGAGATGTTATTTTGCAAATAGAGAATGTTATTAATGAAATTCATCTTTTGTGTAAGCAGGTGGAGACAGAGTTTCAAACCATGAATGTGTAACATAAATTTGTCTGTTTTGAATGGCACAGGAACATAATGTTCATCCAATCCCGATCACCGCAAAAACTCTCTCTGCTCTCATACACAAGCAAACAAGAATTCAGCAGTTGAATGCCTCTCTCAGTTTCAAGAAATAGGTTCACAACCTCCCTTTCTTGACCTACAGCATTGAAGAGTGGAATAATTTTGCAGAGCATTATGATGTCACAGCAAAGTTTACCTTTAAACAATTGGATAAAAGATATTGCCACTTCATCATTTTATCCTATTAAACATTTGTGTTTAATTTTGTCATACTTAGCATCTGAATTCTTGAGTTATGGCCAAAAATGTGTCTTGTGAGGTCTCACCAGGAAGCGGGTTGCTAGGATTTCCAGACATTGGCGGCTTAGCTCAGACCTTTGTAGCGGGGTCCAGGGGGATCCAGGGAATCACAGATTTTTTTATTCTTTTATTTCAGCATGTAAATGTGCAATTTTTGAGCAATTTTTGATTAATACTGAGAGCCTACAAAAAAAACTAAAAAAACCCCAGATAGTTGGTAAGATGAAATATCTTTGTCCTTTTTTATGCTTAGCTGAATGAAGCAATTTTTTTTTTTGGCAAATGTTTTTGACAAACAGTGTGAACAAGAAGTTAAACATTAGCAAGTTCTATTGCAACACACCACAGGTACAAGGAAACAGTTCTCACCCTGTAATTAAAAGGTGACAATGACCTATGTACTTCTGCTCCATTTCCAACTGAAACATATCAAACATTACAGGAACAACGCCCAACAGGTGTTATAACAACAGACCCAAGACTGACTGTTTGGTTTGGATCTATCTCAAACATCATTGTTCCCTTATTAAATTCAAAATGGTTAAATTAAATTCAAACTGTATAACTGACTATGATCACAGCTACAACCATGCAACATGAAGTTTGGGTAAGAGAGTATAGTGGGGCAGAAAGGCAAACTGGGGCAACTGATACATGTTTTAAAGAACACCCATGGAGGGGTGGACAAAACATAATTTTTTTTCATCATTCAATCCTGCAAATTATTGCAGTATGATGAAATTGAACTGAAATGTCTATGAGGATGACATTAAATGATAAGATTTTATGTTCAAATTGTCAAAGATCAACTTCACCATGACATTGCTCTGAAAATACAATTCTGGCCATTATTCAATGCTGTAACTTAGGAACAGGAGGGGAAGTAGTGGCCATATTTCCTGCAATTGGCTGGTTGACGAGGCATAAAACTGGGAGGCAGTAATTCTAGTGTTGGCAGACTGATAAGGTGTGGTTGTGATGAACTGAACCAGGAGGGTTTTGAGGAGGGTGATTGAAAACACAGAGTTAAACACGAGAGAAGTACAAACTTGAGCTTAAGTTTGGCCCGTAGTTTCAGTGCCACGCTGGTGAATTGAACAATCTGGCAAAGACTGAGTGGATCAGTAACAGGTGCACAGGTGTATTGGCAGGAGGGAAACAGAGCACCATGCAAACACACAAAGTCAGAGAGTGAGAAACAGGAAAAACCAAGAAGCACAAGGAGGTGGAGCATGAATCGGGGAGAGGCACAGCTGACAAGCGAAACACACCAGGAGGATAAACTAAGGATTAATTATTAGTCAGAGGGGAAAATTATAGCTCCCCTGTCCGGAAAACACACCCATTATTTTCACATGGCTGTGTGTCCTCTAATTTCATTTATCATTCCATATAAGAATTATCATACAATATTTGACATTTTGTTTGGTTTTGACTTGAATTATTTAGTTTAGACACCACACACACAAGCAAATGTTTACAGGATCCTTATGCCCGTCTGTTCCATATTTCAATGAACAAACTACAGCTTTCTAGATTTGGTCATAACATAATATATATGGAGAATGAAGGACAGGATCCATCACAAATGATTTTTCTCTCCTTTCTGGGAAAAGGAAAGAGAAGAGAGGTGTTGTTTGACAGGAAAGCCAGATGAGATATTACACAGGGACAATAAAAGACAAAGAAACTGACATTGATTAATAAACCTTTTGGCCCAAACATTTTGTCCCTTTACATGTGTAGCCTACAAGGGGCACGGGCACAGGAGAAAATAAAGTGGGTGGTCAATATGTTGAATAAGTTTGGTATAGAGTTGTATGTGAATTTGTAGATATGGAAACTAAACTACTGGAGAGGTGCCTGATCTGAAATAAGTAAAAGGAACATCTTAGTTAAGTTAGAGCACTGCAATTACCTGGAAAATAAATACTGTATGTGTAATGATGTCGCCGAAGACGTGTATACTTCACGAAGTAAAAAGACTCAGCTGTTTTAACTTGAAAAATGTCATAAGCAGAACTTTAGATGATCAGTGCTTAAGTTAAAGTTCACAATAAAGTAACATAATGTAGCATCAAAATGCCTACTTATGTGATTTGATCAACTTTCCTCTCTATCTTAAGTTAAAATGTGTTTTTTTGGAGAGGATTTCCTCATTCACCTTCAATTCTTTAACAGGTTGCCAAAAAGACTTCAACTTTTCAATTGAGAACGTCATTATTTTTAGCCTAATTCTACAACTGGGTCATTGTGGTGTGTATGAAAATCACATGCAAACATCTCATTTCTGTATGGCACGTGGAGACAGTGCAGCATTCTGCAGGAAAGGATGTAAATAAGATGTGAGCAAAGCAAGCCCCAACAGTGAACACCTGACCCAATCTGTGACCTGAGCGTACAGCAGATCATGGTCCAGGCTTAAAAAACCACTGGAATAATCATAACATAAACCATGGAATACAGATCTTTCACTATTTCATCCTGGAATATACAAGGTCTGAGGTTGACTGCTTTTGCTGTAGAGCAGAATCCCAGACTTTACCAAAGAAAATTGTAAACTCTGACATCATTGTTCAACAAGAGTATGTAAAACTGCATGTAAGACTCAGCACTTTGCAATGTGTATTATGCAGTAAAATAAGCACAACTGAAGTAGAGACCCCTGGACAATTCTTTTTCTCTGTTTTTACACAAGTTGTTAGAGATCTTATTTTTCACCGTGCACCGTTCTCTGTGATTCATGTTCACCATTGACTTGGGACTGAACATGTTTACAACTAATCTGTATAAATACTTTTTTCAAGGTACACAAATGAGCTGAATGAAGTCCATCAGAACATTTTAATTCTGACATGAACTTGTTTGGACCCCTTTCCCTCTAACCGTGTGTCTCTTATTAGGTTTCTCAGGGCCCTTTGGTGCCACTCAGCTGTGGCACAACATCATCCAGGCCCTGCAAACCCAGGTGGAGGTGCGCCGCTGTAGGAGGCATCTACGTGTTCATGCCGAATGTTTCACAGGCTCAGACGCTGTGGATGCCGTCCTCAGTTACTTGATGCAGAATGTGGTGTTTTGCACAAGTGAAGTATCTCGCCTCAAAGCTGCTCGACTCTGCCAGGCTCTGATGGAGGCAAAGGTGTTTGAACCGGTGGGCACAAAGCTGTTTCGCAGAGACAAGGAAGTGGCCTTTGAGGACAGCAGCTGTAGCCTTTACCGTTTTCTGGAATATAAAGTGTTACCCGGCTCCTCCATGACGGAGTGCAGAAGTGACACAGAAAACAGGCCACCAGATGAGCCAGAGATTAAGAGGAAAAAGAGCTCCAGGTTGGTTTTACATTTCATCACTAATTCTGCTCAGTATGGAGGACTTGTTGCAAAATGCTAAATCTGTCCATTGGTGAATATTCAGATACAAAGCAGAGCAGAGAAATACACAGATATTCAAAGTATTGTCCCATTTTTTTTTCATGTTTGAGTGAAAATTAGGTTTAATTTTGAGGTGAGTGTTTAATAATCACCAAAATGATTCTCTCTGCAGGCTGAATGAATTGAGAACAATTTCCAATCCTCTTGCTGTTGGACCATCAGACCGGAGGGTTGAGAGGCTGCTGAGGACCATCAACCTGCGACCTTCTGTGTCACCAGCTTTAAACACAGCCCCGACCTCTTCTGCCTTTCTGTCCAAGGCTGGTAAGACTGAGCTAGTCTCTCAGTATCTGCCAGTACAATGGGTTCCCTATACAGGCGAATAACCTGTACAACATTTACAAGATTGATTTGAACTTGGTTCCTTCTTTGACAGTGGTGGACGAGGTTTGGAAGCAGCAGACACTGCTGCAGCTGCTGCAGATATGCACACTTATACAACAAGACAAACAGACAACGGGCCCAGACATGTACATTAATCAAACACATACGTATGCAAACATTGAAACAAAATAGCATCAGGTGGCTGCTACTAAGTGCTATACGTAAGAGCCTCTGGCAGAAGCTGTGGCTCATCCCACGCTGACCTTGTCCAGGTGGACAAGGAAGGGGTCCCAAATGGTCAAAGACCATATAATTGAGTCAGTCCTCAAAAACCTGAGTTTTTCCATCTGTGTGACTGAGATCATGTCAGCTATCCATCTTTGAGAGGAAGGAGGAATCTGCGATTTCCATTCTCACAAGATTCCCCCAAAGTGAGAGTCAGTTGTGTGGCTTTAGGGAGGTGTGCAGTGGGTTGCGAGCAGCCAAGAATGGCAAGCTCAGCCTCTGGTTGGAAAAGTCCCGTATAGGCCTTGGAATACCGTTGAAAAATTTTACACAGCAGACATTTTGACTTGTAACATTTTATTCAAGTGACTCAGTAAGCTATGCCAGTGTGACAGTTGAGCCAACATGCACAACACCAGCACCCGTAACTGAAGCAGCTAAGTCAGTGTTCATTGTTTTAATATGTATTATGATTTGCTTTTTGCCATTTATGTGATTTTCTTACTGTGACATGTCAAAGTAGCCACTAGATGGTGTCATAGTCTCTGCAATTGCTATTTGCAATAGAGTTCACTAGGGATGAACTAGGAGATGCTTCTTTGTAGATAAAAATGTGCAGCTCAAGCACAAGTTTGTATTAGCAAAGTTAATATATAAGTGGCAACTGGGATTAAAAATACCCTGTTTGAGCTTCCACCTTCCCAGTAGCAAATTGCACACTTCTCTCACCAATGGATGGTCCCAATTAGCCCCACCCTCTGATATACCCCCCCTTGTTATATTATCACGTTCTTTGTCTTTATCTTGCTTCACCGAAAAAAAAAGAAAAAAAGTGTGTTTTATGACAGCTTTACCACAAGCCACAATCAATGTGGAATCAATCTCATGTTTGTAGAAACAACAGACAATTCAGGTGAAACGACTTAAGTCTTTTACTTCGAGCCCATACTTGTCAGTGTCCCAGACTGAAAGGTAATTTGGCAGATGCTGTTTTTGTTAGAGTACTATTAACCCCAGTACCATTTGTTAAGATCATGAAAAGCTTGGTATCTTCTGTTCTTTTGTAAGTAACTACAAGTCCTGCAGGCATGTTCTTGGCCAAACCCACCCAATTGAACTTCAAACCTGTTTTTCCAATTGATGTATTTCATGTATTCAGTGATATTTCGGTTGAGGTAAAGTATCCTCTCTGCCAACTCCTTTGGAGTGGAAAAGTCATCGACATGAATGAAAGAATCCGCTGGGATGTGTTCCTCATAATTTTGTCTTGGAGGTCCCAAAACTATTGGTACACTTCCTAGCTTCATAGGACGAAATAACTTCTCTGTAATATAGTCTTTGTAAATAGAGTTTTCAAAGGAGAAGTAGAATTTACAACTAGAGATTATCTCCGTATAGTCTTGATCACTAACACGTTGCTGAAAAGCCCTCCCGTAAGTGTTTATCTGGACATGTTTTTTCAGTTCATTGTAGAACTGAACTCTTCTGAAGTTCGGATTCCAGTTGCTCACAATCCAACAGACCAACTTGTCCTTTGGTGGCAGTTCAAAACTCTCAATCCCAGATGATAGTGGCAACAATTGCCCATAAGGCACAGGAATATTTGAATCGAGGCGATAACTGCATGTCAAGTTGAATAAGTGATTGATTTCAGGGATTTGACCAGAGTGTGCAGGTGACTCCATATTAAACCACACCCATTTCTGAAACCAGGGACGTGGCTCTTTTGGTAAAGATGCAACCGTTATGTCCCTGTGGTGGAAGATGACCCCGTGGGCTTTATGGTAGAGAGACTTGTCATCTGTCAAGTGGCATCTGATATTGAATATATTGCAGTTGAGATCAAACTTGGAGCCAAATGGCCACATCCAGATCAACAGAACAGTGTTGAGCTCAGTGTCCACTGCTGTAGCCTGGACCCTCTGGGTGTCATTATGAAGTGAGTTGATGTGCTGGTCTGGTGAATGGTTCGAGACCTGGGCCTGTACTTCCTTTGCACACAGAGATGTGGGGAACTTGATTTCAGGCTTGTAGTACACAAAGAAAAGGACTAGGACACACACTACCAGCAGGCAGCTGAGGGCAACCTGGTGCAGAGAGGGCCTGTGGAAGCTTGAGGACATGGTTCACCTTTGGAGAGAAAATAGATCTGGTTATTGTAGACAGAACATTTGATCTGACAATACATTATGTTGTCAGGTGTCCTATGGGCAACCAGTGTAATAGTAAAGCAAAAAAAAAAAAATGTTTATCAATGCAAAGTGAATTCATAATGATGCCAAAGTTATGAGCCTTATATCTTAATTAAAATAGATATATTGTTATGTGTTAATTTACCTGCTACATACGTGCAGGGTAACCCGTGAGCCAGAGAGAATCTTAACACATCAGGATGGCAAGAGGCAAATGATGTTCCTAAAGCAGGTTATTCCAGGTAAACAATAGCTCCTCATTTGTTTGATGATAACACATTAAGAGGAACTTTTGACAAAAGCAAATAGATGAAACATCTTGGGCTTTATGAAGAGGAGTAAATTACATTATTTTAACCTTAATGTTCAACACGTCCATTAAACATTTAAAAAGTGAGATGTGCTTTAAAAGTAATAAGTAAAATCACATAATCAATCTCTTCCACCTAAAACCAGAAGTTATAGCGGTACTATGGTAAGTGAGAAATACTGGAGCTAAAATTCCATTCACTTTCATTATTTCATATTTAGTTATCGTTCTTATTTTTTTAACTTTTTGTCAGATTTCTGATGAACCCCCGTCTGATATCAACCATCTGAAGCAAAAACCACTGGACGTCTATTTCACTGATGTACCCGACGAGCTTAATGAAATGTTCAACTGATGTCTGGAGAGGGTTGCACATGTGGAAAAAGACTGTTCAGCACAATGGACAAGAGATAGTTAGAATTTCTCACAGGCATGATACAGTCAGCTCTGTACTTTTAACTTTGAAAATGTCTGATGAAATGACCTAAAATTTTACTACCATTAGAGTCAATTGAGGCAAAGCAAATATTCAAATGAGAAACATAGACCAGCAATCTCACCTTCAAGTAGAAAAGCACAGGTAAAAAAAAAATACTGCAGAACTTTTGCGATGGTACATATCCTGTGAATGTGGCATTTACAAGGAAGTGTCCCCTTATGTTTTTATTGAGTCTCAAATGTCCTTCATCATTTCATAAGCTGGTATTTCACTGTAGTGGCAGGAAGTTTATTCACTGGACTTTATATCGATGCTTTCAGGGCAGGGACAACATTTGAAACCAGATTCTTCTCTCATTTAAAGCAGGAGAGATAACACTGCCCCCCTGTAGGGAAACACCTACTTTTATATTTACCTCATACAATGACGAATGCAAATAGGACACCATGTTAGAGTCACAAGACATGAGATGTTATTTTGCAAATAGAGAATGTTATTAATGAAATTCATCTTTTGTGTAAGCAGGTGGAGACAGAGTTTCAAACCATGAATGTGTAACATAAATTTGTCTGTTTTGAATGGCACAGGAACATAATGTTCATCCAATCCCGATCACCGCAAAAACTCTCTCTGCTCTCATACACAAGCAAACAAGAATTACCACTCAGCAGTTGAATGCCTCTCTCAGTTTCAAGAAATAGGTTCACAACCTCCCTTTCTTGAGCTACAGCATTGAAAAGTGGAATAATTTTGCAGAACATTATGATGTCACAGCAAAGTTTACCACAGATTTGATTGTTTTTTTTATTTCAACATGTAAATGCGAAATTTTTGAGCAATTTGTGATTAATACCGAGAGCCTACAAAAACAACAACAAAAAAAAAACAGATAGTTGGTAAGATAAAATATCTTTGTTGTCTTGTTATCTTTTTTATGATTAGCTAAATGAAGCTAATTTTTTTTGGCAAATGTTTTTGATAAACAGGGTGAACAACCAGTTTTTTAGGTTCTATTGCAACACAGCACAGATCCAAGGAAACAGTTCTCACCCTTTAATTTAAAGGTGACAATGACCTATGTACTTCTGCTCCATTTCCAACTGAAACATATCAAACATTACAGGAACAACGCCCAACAGGTGTTATAACAACAGACCCAAGACTGACTGTTTGGTTTGGATCTATCTCAAACATCATTGTTCCCTTATTAAATTCAAAATGGTTAAATTAAATTCAAACTGTATAACTGACTATGATCACAGCTACAACCATGCAACATGAAGTTTGGATAAGAGAGTATAGTGGGGCAGAAAGGCAAACTGGGGCAACTGATACATGTTTTAAAGAACACCTATGGAGGGGTGGACAAAACATAATTTTTTTTCATCATTCAATCCTGCAAATTATTGCAGTATGATGAAATTGAACTGAAATGTCTATGAGGATGACATTAAGTGATAAGATTTTATATTCAAATTGTCAAAGATCAACTTCACCATGACATTGCTCTGAAAATACAATTCTGGCCATTATTCAATGCTGTAACTTAGGAACAGGAGGGGAAGTAGTGGCCATATTTCCTGCAATTGGCTGGTTGACGAGGCATAAAACTGGGAGGCAGTAATTCTAGTGTTGGCAGACTGATAAGGTGTGGTTGTGATGAACTGAACCAGGAGGGTTTTGAGGAGGGTGATTGAAAACACAGAGTTAAACACGAGAGAAGTACAAACTTGAGCTTAAGTTTGGCCCGTAGTTTCAGTGCCACGCTGGTGAATTGAACAATCTGGCAAAGACTGAGTGGATCAGTAACAGGTGCACAGGTGTATTGGCAGGAGGGAAACAGAGCACCATGCAAACACACAAAGTCAGAGAGTGAGAAACAGGAAAAACCAAGAAGCACAAGGAGGTGGAGCATGAATCGGGGAGAGGCACAGCTGACAAGCGAAACACACCAGGAGGATAAACTAAGGATTAATTATTAGTCAGAGGGGAAAATTATAGCTCCCCTGTCCGGAAAACACACCCATTATTTTCACATGGCTGTGTGTCCTCTAATTTCATTTATCATTCCATATAAGAATTATCATACAATATTTGACATTTTGTTTGGTTTTGACTTGAATTATTTAGTTTAGACACCACACACACAAGCAAATGTTTACGGGATCCTTATGCCCGTCTGTTCCATATTTCAATGAACAAACTACAGCTTTCTAGATTTGGTCATAACATAATATATATGGAGAATGAAGGACAGGATCCATCACAAATGATTTTTCTCTCCTTTCTGGGAAAAGGAAAGAGAAGAGAGGTGTTGTTTGACAGGAAAGCCAGATGAGATATTACACAGGGACAATAAAAGACAAAGAAACTGACATTGATTAATAAACCTTTTGGCCCAAACATTTTGTCCCTTTACATGTGTAGCCTACAAGGGGCACGGGCACAGGAGAAAATAAAGTGGGTGGTCAATATGTTGAATAAGTTTGGTGTAGAGTTGTATGTGAATTTGTAGATATGGAAACTAAACTACTGGAGAGGTGCCTGATCTGAAATAAGTAAAAGGAACATCTTAGTTAAGTTAGAGCACTGCAATTACCTGGAAAATAAATACTGTATGTGTAATGATGTCGCCGAAGACGTGTATACTTCACGAAGTAAAAAGACTCAGCTGTTTTAACTTGAAAAATGTCATAAGCAGAACTTTAGATGATCAGTGCTTAAGTTAAAGTTCACAATAAAGTAACATAATGTAGCATCAAAATGCCTACTTATGTGATTTGATCAACTTTCCTCTCTATCTTAAGTTAAAATGTGTTTTTTTGGAGAGGATTTCCTCATTCACCTTCAATTCTTTAACAGGTTGCCAAAAAGACTTCAACTTTTCAATTGAGAACGTCATTATTTTTAGCCTAATTCTACAACTGGGTCATTGTGGTGTGTATGAAAATCACATGCAAACATCTCATTTCTGTATGGCACGTGGAGACAGTGCAGCATTCTGCAGGAAAGGATGTAAATAAGATGTGAGCAAAGCAAGCCCCAACAGTGAACACCTGACCCAATCTGTGACCTGAGCGTACAGCAGATCATGGTCCAGGCTTAAAAAACCACTGGAATAATCATAACATAAACCATGGAATACAGATCTTTCACTATTTCATCCTGGAATATACAAGGTCTGAGGTTGACTGCTTTTGCTGTAGAGCAGAATCCCAGACTTTACCAAAGAAAATTGTAAACTCTGACATCATTGTTCAACAAGAGTATGTAAAACTGCACTAAGACTCAGCACTTCACAATGTGTATTATGCTGGTGTCAAGTCCATTAAGTTCATCTCCACCACTGCTCCTGTAAGGTGTAATAGACTGTCAAGACCAAGCTGTCAGCCACCTTGAAAATCTACTACACCATTCAGGATCTGCTGTAGAGATTAACTTAATGGCACCACCTGCCCTCTGATTGGACTCTGCTTTATGCTTCTTTCAGATTCATGTGTAAAATAGGGTCAAAATTCATACTTGTAACTACAGCATAACACACCGTGAGTGTGGAAACTGTGAGTGCTGATTTTAACACACACTCTACTTTTTATCTTTACACAGATCTATCTTTGTCTTATCTCGCCAGTGATATCATTGGTTCATAGTTTTGACTCACATGCAATCTAATTTTTTAACAATTTTTCACATATGCATGCTGTTAAACTAATTTGCATTTTCATTTTCACATACTTGTATTTGTGTGTAGGACCATATTAAAATGAAAGTTTTGTTCATTTTCATAGACTTAAGCTGCTCCACAGTGAACAAACATTTCATTTTCAACAACTTATGCAGCCAATAAAAATCCCCCACACTGTCTCATTTGCAATAATCAAATTATTTGCATTGATTTTGCCAGATGAAGGTCTAAAACGATTTTTTGTTTTCTACTTGAGATCCTCTCATTCTGTTCCTATGCACTAGCTTCACCAATTAGATGTAGGAAATGAGAAAACTTTGATTTATGATACATTGAGATCTGCATGTTAGAGTTGCTTTCTAAAATGCTAATCAAGTTCCCTTAGGATGGTACTGAACTGAACTCACCAGAATTCTCTGTAAAGTAAACATGGTTCTGTTAAAACCCAGATTGGGATGGAAAGAAATAATATCAAGCATAACTTCAGAAAGCACATGGGAGCATGAGGATAACTTGTACAAAGACTATCTGGATATATATAAACTGATGGGTCAAAAGATATGTAATCTGGAAGGGTAGGAGCATTATTTACCAAAATTAAATATTATCAGAATCTAAAAAGGTTTATATATGATACACATAGTCCACACTCCAGCCCAGTAGGTGGCGGTAATACACCTAATTGTTAGATGTTAACTGCCTTACAGAAGAAGAACGTGTTTACGTCACACGGGGAGCTCATGATGGCGGTTGATTTGACTCCTCGGTTCAGAAGACTGAACAGCCAAACAAGAAGTTTTCGTGAAAATATACAACCTGGTAAGGTGACGCTTACTCAGTGTGAAGTTAGCTCATGTCCTTTAACTCAGTACAACCAGACAAACACAACTCCGTGCTGTACAAAAGAATTGGCTCTATCTCTAGAGTGTAGCATTGACAGAGGAAAGCGTTAGCCCTCGCCGCCCTGTTGTTGCTGTTAATTCTGGGAGAAATGTCTTAATGTTTAAAATGTTTTTGGAGACACTGACATTCAGGGACTTTGCTTTATGAGTTCGCACATAGATTCCACAAACCTAAAAGTAGCGTTATTCCTGATGCTGAAGTGCTCCCTGAGAGTGTTACATCATTATATATAGTATTATTGAATTATTATAATGTATGGATTTTATCGAGGTGGAGCTGCTTTGAGCTACTTTATATACTGTTGGGTAGTTTAATATTTTATCTCATATTACAAATGCATAATGTTTTATGAGCTCATCTTATGTTTTGGGTGTAACATCTTAATTTGTAAAGTAACTAGCGCTATAGCTGTCATCAATGCAGGAAAAAGTGAGTAGCAAGTAGCAAAAAAAAATGTAAATATTCAAGTAAAGTTAAAGTAACTCAAATTTGTATTTTGTACAATACTTGAGTATTGACCTAATATTAATGTTAAAGCTTTCATGTAATGGCACCTTCATTAATGGCATGCAGTAAAATAAGCACAACTGAAGTAGAGACCCCTGGACAATTCAGTCTTCTCTGTTTTTACACAAGTTGTTAGAGATCTTATTTTTCACCGTGCACCGTTCTCTGTGATTCATGTTCACCATTGACTTGGGACTGAACATGTTTACAACTAATCTGTATAAATACTTTTTTCAAGGTACACAAATGAGCTGAATGAAGTCCATCAGAACATTTTAATTCTGACATGAACTTGTTTGGACCCCTTTCCCTCTAACCGTGTGTCTCTTATTAGGTTTCTCAGGGCCCTTTGGTGCCACTCAGCTGTGGCACAACATCATCCAGGCCCTGCAAACCCAGGTGGAGGTGCGCCGCTGTAGGAGGCATCTACGTGTTCATGCCGAATGTTTCACAGGCTCAGACGCTGTGGATGCCGTCCTCAGTTACTTGATGCAGAATGTGGTGTTTTGCACAAGTGAAGTATCTCGCCTCAAAGCTGCTCGACTCTGCCAGGCTCTGATGGAGGCAAAGGTGTTTGAACCGGTGGGCACAAAGCTGTTTCGCAGAGACAAGGAAGTGGCCTTTGAGGACAGCAGCTGTAGCCTTTACCGTTTTCTGGAATATAAAGTGTTACCCGGCTCCTCCATGACGGAGTGCAGAAGTGACACAGAAAACAGGCCACCAGATGAGCCAGAGATTAAGAGGAAAAAGAGCTCCAGGTTGGTTTTACATTTCATCACTAATTCTGCTCAGTATGGAGGACTTGTTGCAAAATGCTAAATCTGTCCATTGGTGAATATTCAGATACAAAGCAGAGCAGAGAAATACACAGATATTCAAAATATTGTCC